ACAAAGCCTGAGTTTGACTTCAGATAGTGATTCACTTAAATTTGAGGGGCGTCTCCTTTTCTGAAATTGAGAATATGATGAGAATATGATGATTGATCTGTTTTTCAAAAAGAATTGACACAGGTCTTCACACGCTTTCTTGATCTGCATCTCTTCCTGTGTTGCTGCTGTTTAGTCACCGAGTTGTGCCCAACTCTTTGCGACCCCGTGGACTGCAGCACACCAGGCTACCGTGTCCATGGGATTTCCCAGCAAGAATACTGGAGTGGGTTGCCATTTCCTCCTCCAGGGGATCTTCCCGACCCAGGAATCTAACCTGCGTCTCTTGCATTGACAGGCGGATTCTTGACCACTGCCCCACTTGGGAAGCTGTGTTTTCCTGTGACCCTGACTAAAAAGAAGGTGTCCACAGACAGAACACGCTCACAAATGCTGACATAATCTCAAGTAGAAAATTTGAGATTAGGATGTGCTGTGTATTAGCCGTGATTTTCAGTTAAATCCACCATTTCAGTGCTCTTTCCTCTTCATTTTCTAAATTGAGACATAGTTTTATTAGCCTCAGTTGGAATGCTATATTTTTTGGTAAAACATCAGTATCTTGATAGCGTTTGCATTTTTTCCCATAAGCTGTCTCTTTCAAATATAAAGACAGTATTCTTGAGCCATTATCTATTCATAGAATGGTGGGTCCAGACCCCACAAGCATTAAGTCTGAGGCTACTTTTGATGGTTTTTTAATCTATTTTCAAATCTGTCTCCTCTTTGTGAAGCTAACTGGGCCATTGAAAGATCAATGCATTGGCCTCATTGCTGCTCCACTACGATCTATGGAGCCAATAGGTCCAGGCAGAACAGTTCTCATTCTGTTTATCTGTAATTTTTTCTAAATGATTGATACCATATCTCATCTGTTTTTAAAGCTAGGACCGTGTAGTCTCATTACCTGTCTCAACAGGGCTTACCTTTCTCTTGCCCACAAACATTGCTTTTCTCCCTCTTCCCAGGGGAACTGTCTTCCTACACCTGTAGCAGCCTGACTCCCATGCCCTGGATTCCATCTCCCCTGGCTTCTTCAGAGGGGAGCTCTAGATGAACTAATCTGTGTCTCCTGTGTCACCAGTGTGGACGGTCATTTCCGCTGCTAAATAGCTTGCCTTAATATCTGTCGCTCATCTTTAAAAAAGCAGAATGTTTATTTATCCATTTTGAAATAAGGAGCAAAATAAAGAAGTAGAGCAGTAAAGGTAAATATAACACTAAAGGCCGTCGTGCTGTATTTTGCCTTTGTGTGCGTGTGGGCTCAGTCGTGTCCAGCTCTTTGCAACCCCATGAGCTATGTAGCCCACCAGGCTCCTCTGCCCATGGGATTTTCCAGGCAAGACTACAGAGGTGGGTTGCCATTTTATTTTACCTTTACTATGGTTTACCTTGACTGCTTTATTTCTTGTTATTGCATCACACGCCTGGAGGTTACCTATGCTCATTGTTTCCACTTAACCTCTTTCCCAGACTTGCTTCCATACCACCTCTTGAAGCTTCCTTATCAAAGTCATCAGCCCCCATCTAGTGAAGGCCAGTTGTCCAGTCTTTCTTCATTTTATTCTACCTTTGTGACACCATTTGATATGATCGACCACATCATCTTTTTAAAAACTGCCTTTCTGTAGTACTCCATGAACCTGTGTCTGTGTCCCCCAATTTCTTCTCAGTTGCCTTTGGTTGTTTGCACACCCCTCTGTGACCATCAAATGTTGGAGTGCTCCAAGGCTCCAACATCAGTCTGGATTCCTTCTTGTCAATGTATTCTAGCTTTCCAGGGGCTGCCATTAGGCCCATGGCTCCAGAATCACCTGTATAGTGAGATTCTCTGGCTCAGATCTCTCCGAGTTCTGAATATGGATAACCAGCTATCTACTAGACATTTCCCCCTGTTTGTTTAATAGGCATGTCGTGTTTAAACCTGTAAAGCAGAACTGTGAACTCCTGCCTCCCTTTTTCCACCCAGTTCTACTGTTCCCAAAGCCTGCCTTACCTTGGTAAATGTCTCTATCTTCCATCCATTTAGGTGCATGGGCAAAAAAGAATCTAGGTATCGTGCTTTACCCTTCTTTTTTTTTTTTTTCTTTCATCCTCATCCAGTCCTTCAGCAAGTTCTGTCTGATTTCCTTACAAGATGCCTGGAAGGTTTAGGGGCTCTGCCTCCGTTTTTGGAACCCAGAGCCAGCCACCACCATCTCTCCTTTTGTGCTGGAGAGACCAGTGGTCTCCAGCTTTTGTGCTGGAGAGACCAGTGGTCTCCCTGCTGGTCTTTTCCTCTGCTCCCATACATACTCCGCAGTTTGTCCTTCAGTCAGTTTAAGTGAGATTAGTTACCACTACCCTCCTATAAAGCCTTCTAGTGGTTTCCATTGCACTTAGAATAAATGCCAGTCCTCTCTCTCTATTATTTTAACTCTCTCTCTTTCCCTCCAGTACAGTATAAGCTTGCTGAATGTAAGACTTTTTTGTTCACCCTGACTTCTCAGCAAAGTAAAACAGTACCTGGGCATAGTAGATATTCAGTAAATATCAGAGAGCGGGATAGACTGTTGTTGCAAAACTCTTAACTAGGTCCAGTAAGTTTGTTATTTTAAATTACTAGAAATCAGTTGTCCCCAAAATAGACTTAAAACCTATAGTGTTCAGTTTGTAACTTGTCTTCCTCCTTACTTAATTAACTATTGCCCTGTAGTTTATGATTTATATACTTGGTACCTTCTTTGGTCCTTCCAAACAATCTAGGTTATACCAATAAATATTAATTCTGCCCCTCCCAGCCCCAGCCCCAAAAGAAGTAAGTGACTTGCACAAGATTTCAGTAGGTTAACTGGAACCTAGGTCTTCTAATTCCTAAACCAGACAGCTTTGGCAGTGCAGTGTTCTAGATGTGTGCTGGGAGCATAGAAGAATTATGCTAATCTTTGGATCAGTTGCTTTTTTACTTCCTGTATTCCCTCCAAAATAACATTTGAAAGAAATCTTTAGCTCTGTGGCTGTTCTTTTCAGCATTAACATAAAGTATCAGCCCCTGTTAACAACCAACATAAGTTAAGATTTAATCAATTATTTTTATAGTTACAGTGATGATATTTAAAACTGAGGTGTTGTATGTAATTGATGGTTGACTCTTAAGGGTAAGTTAAACTGATGGAACTAATATCTTCAAACATATTTCTTAGGAAAAAAAAAAAGGAGACTGACATAGGGAGGAACAAGCATCTTTTATTTTTGCTATAATGGCATTAAAATAGAAGACACAACAAACCTACCCACTGTCTAGTAATCATCGCTTCATAAAAGAAAGGCTGCTTAATTTGAAAAGCAGTAAGCACATAATTTCAGGACATCTCAAAGTAGAGTTCTTTAAAACAAATACATTTTGTTTTGTGGAAAACCTCACTGCATTGATTCCGCTAACCCCCAGTTAAACCGTGGATGGCTGTTAACTGTCTGCAGCCAGGACTGGTGAAGGGATTGCTCTCACCTGAAGAAAGAGCTTGTGAAATCTGAGTCACACTTTGCGAGATTGCTCTCTCATACTGCCTTCCCCCGTCACTGTCAGTGCGGTCCTCCACTGCCTGCCTTTCCATTGACTCTGACTCAGCCTTGGGCCCTGTGGAAGTTTCAGTTGCTGACTTTTGTCATCAGAAGTGCTTTGCACACTGCCCAGGCTGGACCTGACTTTGTTACAGTTGCTAGTGACAACCATCTCTGGAAGCTTTTTGGTTTCTTTAACAAGTAAATAAATGATTAATGATAAACCGAAGTAAATCTTTAAGGATCTGTATATACATTTGTCATGGTTTATTCTAACAGTGAGCTTGCTTTGTTCTCTCCTTTCTACTCTCTGCCTGCCTCACATCCAGAATCGTAGCTCAAGCAAGCCGAGAGCTTTCCAGTGATCTGCTGCCCCCGTCTTCCTCCCTGGCTGTCCTCCTAGAAGGGGTTCTTGCCAAAAAACAGAGTTGAGGTTACTTCATTATAGATTTAAATATATAATGATAAAAGGCATGTCATCCCGGTATCTCTGTCCCTTCTTCATTGCTCTTAAACTGGGGAAATGTCCTTTGTCACTGCTGCTTTTGTTTTCCTGCCTCCCTAATAATCTGTGTTGACAGCCTTTGCAGTAGCTCATTGGGATGGACCTAGGCTTGACGGGATCATCAGGATGAAATTAGAGGAGGAGTAACTTGGTAGGTGAAGAAAAGGCAAATTTGATCCTGCAGCTTTCTCTTAACCTTCATAGCTTGCTAATTTCATGCTCTAGGCAGTAGATCATATTTCCTACAAAATGTATCTTTTCCTTAACAGTGACAGTCAGTCAATAGCACTACCTATTTCTCCAATTGGAAATAAATCCTAAAAGTCAAGCTTGAAGGAAAGGTCATCCTAAGTCTCCCATTTTTTGTGACTTAAAAATCTTTTATCACTTGAATTAGAACTTTTAGAAGTTTTCAGGCTTGTGATAGGTGAACTTTTCATTGTTCAGCAAATAAGAGTGAAAATAAAAAGCTTTCACTTGTTAACTAAGATGTAAGTAAATCAAGTAAACATCTTTCTGTACTTCCCTACTTTTGGGAAAAAAATACAAGGAAAGATTGGAGAAATGTTTAATCCCAATCTAAAACTATCAAACATATCATTTCTGGTTTTCTGGCAGTCTAGTGGATGGTATAGATAGTATGACCAAAAACCAGCAGTTGGGAAAAGTGGAATTTCTTAATTCGGCCTTGTGTCGTCTACTTAAAATATTTTCTTCAAGTACTGTGCATGTTTTTTGGTGATTTAAATTACGTACAGTTAGTCTAACTCACAGGAATAAACCATTGTGGTAGGATCTTATGCACTGTGTCTAAATGTAATGAATCTAAAGTGTAGAGAATGACTGTGTTTTGAATAAAATATTTTCATTTGTAAGTAGTAAAACCATTCACTAAAATTTCTTTCTTTTTTACTAGGTTTAAGTGGAAACCCTGCAGATATAGAAAGAAGAGAAGCAGTATTTGGAAAGAATTTTATACCTCCTAAAAAGCCAAAAACCTTTCTTCAGCTAGTATGGGAAGCATTACAAGATGTCACTTTAATTATATTAGAAATTGCAGCCATAGTATCATTGGGCCTTTCTTTTTATCAACCTCCAGAAGGGGATAATGCACGTAAGTAAATTGGTAGGGGAAAAAAGACTTATGTGTGATGTGAAGTTCAGCTCATTTGCTTACTTAGTACATAATAAAAATAGCAGGCCAGCATTTATTAAGTTTGCTGTATGCTAGGTATCATTCTAATAGTGCTTTTTTTTTTTTTTCTAATAGTGCTTTTTAATAGTTCTTTAAATATATTACCTCAGATAGTTTTCCCAATAGCCCTGTAAGATAGATAGTGTCATCTGCATTTTACAAGTGAGACACAGAGGTTAAATAACTTGCCCACATACGCATCCTCTGTGTCTGGCCGGGAGGTAAGCATGTGTATGATGTGTTATGTGTCATGGTGGTTTTTAAGTTCTTTAGAACACTATTGTGAAATAATTATTTTTTAATTTGGAGTTTTTAAAAAAACCTTTTGGAAAATCATTATAAAAGCAAAATTTATTCTTTTTCCCAGGCTATTATTTTCCAAGTTCTTTAAATATTGTATATATTTTATTGTTATGTGGATGATCTGGATAATTTCTTTACCATCTTAGAAATGTTTATGCTACAAAGTATTCTACTTTAGGTAACTTGGCTTTAACCTGTAGCTGCAGATGATTTTGTTTTTCTCCTATCTTTCTCTGTCCTTCATTTCTTTTTAAAATTTCTTCTTTTTCTTTAGAGCAAATTATTTTACATGGATTTTCCTGACAGTACTTTCTATATCTGACAGGAGATCTAGCTTGGGTTTTGGTCACTATATTTAAGGAGCTATAGAGTGAACCAGTGGTATTTTATATATCAGGAGAAGGATTCACCTTTGTTTGCAAAAGCTTCATTCTTCTGTCTTACAAGTTGTGAAGAATTTTAATAAGTATTTGCTAACTTGGCTTAGGTAATCATTTAAATTAATTCTTCAAAGGTATGTCTAGAGCTCAAGTGAGAGAGAACTTCTTGGGGGTTGGGAGGCGGGGGGAGTGGGAGGAGACAGCTGGTCACAGAATAAGCAAATTTACCTGAGGCTGAAGTCTGTAGATCGGGGTTTCTCAGAGCGGCACTGTTGACATTTTGCACTGGAACATTCATTGTCACCTGTTCATTGTACCATCGCCTAGTTGAGGCAAGCCAAAATATCTCCAAAGATAGCCAGTATCCTTTAAGGGGGCAGAAGTGCCTGTGGGTGAAAATCTCTGATGTAGATAAAAGAGGATTTAGGCAATATTCTGGGCAATATTGAGCCAGATTATTTTTTAAAACTTTTATTTGTTGAATAAATGGTACATACTTTGCTGTTGAAAAATTAGAGGGAAAATGACATTTCAAAGTAAATCATGTTTACTGAAATTCCCACTGTTTAGAGATTACTGCTGTACCGTTTTGAGATATATATATCCTCTGAGATTAAAAAAAATTTTTTTTAGTTGTCCCTGACGGTGCTCATGTATGTGCATGTGTGCACAAGTGGATAGGCGTGAGGAATGTAAATGTGTGTGTGTCTGTTTATCTGGAAAAGGAGGTGATACCATGTTTAGCAGCATACAGCTAAATTCTTCACTGCTTGGTTTACCCAGCTTTCATCATAGAATACTGGGAACTGGTGTTCTAGCCTTAAGTGAGTTAGCAGATGATCAAAAACTTTTTACTTGTAAAATTTTTTCCGCAGGACTATAAGAAAACTGAAGAAAAATGTTTTCAGTGGGAGTGGGTTTTTTTAATTCACAGAATCTGGACACATCTTGGAATTCAGCCTGCTTCATTTGTACAATGTAGTGACAGGCCCTTTTTCAAATTTGCTTAAGGAGATAACTGGTGTTAATCCAACTGAGAAGATAATCTAGAGTTGTTGGTGTCTTAGGGCCATTTAAAGAGACTCAAGATCTACCAGAAGGTCTTGATAAACAATATAAAGATGTTTTTGCTCCGTGGCAAAAGTTATTTAGTGTTTGCACTTAAAAAAAATACGCCTTTCAATGTATTTCATGTATCTTTTCATCATATTTAACACTTAAGAAGTGGTGACTTGCCTAAAAGGAAATCCAGTAATTATAAATCTATAGTCATAGAACTCTAGATTATCAGAATTTCTTACTAGTGCTGTTAGGTATGAAAATAAGCACTATAACCCAGAAATCTTCAGTCCATACAACTAGTGGTTCTCAGACTCTTGGTCTCGGAACCCTTTTACACTCTCAAAGTACTGAGAACTCCAAAGAGGTTTTGATCATGTGAGTTACAGCAGTAGGTATTTACTATATTCTAAATTAAAACTGAGAAATTAAAAAACACTAGTGCATTTTAAAATAATAAACATTGTTAGCATATAATTATTCTTATTATAATTAATGAATGAAGTTATAAAATGAGACAATGAAGTGTAGTGGTATTTTTAATTTCATTGTGTCTAGTTAATGTTTGGCTTAATTGAAGATAACTGGATTCTCATCAGCTTCTGCAGTCATTGTGTTGTTTTTAGCTCATGGAGTTTTTGGAAAGTTTCACTGTACATTCATGAAATACGAGACAAAGAGCATCTTAGTATTATTGTAAAAACAGTTTTGACCTTGAGGATCCCCCTGGAGTTCCTGAACAATACTTTGAGAACTTCTTTTTTGCGCTAGTCATATATACACTTCACATATGACCCAAGAATCACATAGGGGATTTGAGAATGGCATATTTGCCCTGTGATATAGCATAGGCTGAATTCAGATGGTAAGTACCTCTCAGGTGAACATATTTACAAGGGAGCACCTTCAGTAAAATCGGTTTTTATTACTTTATTTATACTCGGACTTTACTGAAAACATTATTACTTTTTCTTTTCTCCATGTGTAACCGGTAAACCACAATCCTTTCCTGACTTTGATTTTAGAGATTAATCTTTCCCTGCAGCTCCCTTAAAACTTTATAATGGTCATCAGTAGGAAAAGTATTCAATTTCTAGAAATACTTTACTACTGTCTACTTCTAGATCATTCTAACTTTGTGTGATATAAAGTGGAACTATATATAAATGAAATATGTCACTAACTGCTCTCTTTAGAAATACTCAGTAGTTTAGTTATAAATACATGTGCTTGTGAGATTTAAAACTGAAAATTAAATAATTCTCTCACAATTCCTTTTCTTTAACCTCAGTTTCTCTGTCTTTAAACTTTTTTGTTTATTTACCCTATAAAGAAAAGATCTGAGTACATGTCTCCCAATGATACATTTATGTTTTATATATATTTAAAGCTATATATAATGTGAGCATTTTAAAACATATACAAAAATAGATTTAAAAGATGAAAGTTTTAAATTTTTATATTTAGTAGCCATAAGACATCATTATTGATAGCATGATTGAATGTACATTATTATATTTTATAATCTTGATTTGGCCTGATTTGGGTCTTAAGTTTGTTTTCTTTCAGAACTTGGTTTTAATGTCTGTCATAGGTAGGAAAAAACTCATAATGTTAGGCAAATCCAAGTAGAAAATTTTAGTGTACTCACTGAATCGTGATACTTACACCATGATACTTCCACCAGTTATGTAAAAGTTTTTGTTGAAATATGACTGGTAAATTTCATCTTCTGATGTCAGATTGTTGTTTTTACACACTCTTGTAAAGTCCTGCATCGTTATGTTTTTAACTAGTAAGAGCAAAGCCCACGGCAGTGCTTTATTTGGAAGATTACATTTTCGCACTGCCTCCAAGTGGGTGAAAGTGGTCACTAAAGCGGTCAATATGGTATTTCAGCCTTTCTCTGTTCTTGAATTCAGATTTGCTTTATCTGACTCAGAAAACAGATCTCCTGTCTTCTGGGCAGGGGCATAGGTAAGGATCAGCTGTCTTTACAGCTTCAACCATAGATTCATTTAACTAGTTATTTTATGCAATGATACATGGTTATTTGTTCAGCTTGAAAATAATCAAAATAGAAGTTTTAGTATTTGAATGTCTAGGCTGGCACATTCAGTAGATCATCCTGCCATCTCTTTTGGAGAACATACTTTATACCCATTGATCACTGAATCCTACTGATGTTCACAGGGCTATTTTTAATGATTGTTCACATCATCCCTTCCGTTTCACCCCAGTTGATTTTTCTCCAATTTCTGTCTTCTCTTTCTTCATCTGTCCTACATACCTCTCACTAATTCATCTTTATTCAGCACCCTTCCACCTCAAGTCCTCTCTTCAGTTATTCTCACTATTCTGGAATATGCATTAATGATTTCTAGTGTTAATGTTTCCTTCTTATTTCCTTGTGAATAATCCTTTTCCTGTTCTGAATGTCCTAAGAGAACCATTGACTTTCAGAGAGATTAACTCAACCCTCAGTAAGAATTAACTTTACATAGGAACACAGAACATGTTCCATCATCTGAGTTTATAAATGACCAAAGTAAGCTTTCAGAAAACAATACTTATCTTTATTACATGTATATTTTCTCTGTTTTGTTCTGTTTTATTTCTCAAAGTTTGGTCATAAGCCACTGAACTGATTTTACACTCACAAATAGACTACAGCCCAAGATCCAAAAAGAGCACTGTCCTTGTTCTTTCTTTACCATTACTGACCCTGCAGTTTTGAGCTTTCTTTTTTCCCTCCTCTTGTCTTCTTCTAAACCCTTTTATGCTGACTTTAATCTCTCCCTGTAGTTCTCATCCCTTAAATCTACACAGCTAGCTCCCTTTTATCATTTGGCTCCTGGATCAAATGTCATGGACCCTTTAGAAGGGCCTCTGTTCACTTAACCATGATTAGCCTTCTTTTTCATTTGATAGCACATCATCATGTTTTATTTTCTTTGTGCCATTTACAATATCTGAAATTAACTATTTGTGTTTTATTAACTGAATTCTTCATATACTATCCTCACCTGCCAGTCTGAATATAGGTTCCCTGAGGAGAGAGAGCTTATATGTCTTACTCATCATCACATCCTTAGCTTTGAAAACAGTGTCTGGCACCGAGGGTAGGTGCTTAAATAGTTGAATTAATGAGTAGCACTTGGCTTAAAATTTTATCTTATGAAAGTTAAGCTTTTATCATACTTCAGTGGTATTGATATGTCAAATAAGCATGATTCATGGGTAACACATAATACTTACGGTTCTATATGTGGCTTGCCTACTGTATGTTATAATTAATAGCATTAACCATTGGTCGAGGATGAACAAGCTTCAGTCACTGCTCAACCTTCTTTATAAATGTCTTCTCATGTAATCCTTGCAACAACTCTGCAGTAAGTGGTGGTCTCCTAACTTGACAGATGAAGAAACTGAGTCTCAAAAATAAGTAACTTGCCTTAGGTTGAGATTTAATCTTTTCCAGTTTCCTCCCTCTTAACTAGCACCTTGGGCTGCCTCCCTATCCTGAAGATGAGAATCTTTGGAGGCAGAGAACTTGAAATTAACAGAGTTAGCAACATCCTCACTGTGGAATGCTTTGAGTCAGTAAGGTGTTTAGAGCTCTACGTAAAATTAACGGAACACATAAACATCATAATTACATGTCTGTTGCCATCAATTCAGAATCTTTTTTGATAAGCATTTTCTTTCTTTCCAAATAGTTTGTGGAGACGTTTCTGTTGGAGAAGAAGAAGGTGAAGGTGAAACTGGTTGGATTGAAGGAGCTGCAATCCTCTTGTCAGTAGTGTGTGTGGTGTTAGTAACAGCTTTTAATGACTGGAGTAAGGAAAAGCAGTTTAGAGGTTTGCAGAGTCGAATTGAACAAGAACAGAAGTTCACAGTCATCAGGGGTGGTCAGGTCATTCAGATACCCGTAGCTGACATTACTGTTGGAGATATTGCTCAAGTGAAATATGGTAAGTAAAACAGGGCAGTCCATGTGACATGTGATGTGATTTTATTGTAATATTGTTCACAGCTTGGCTTACCTTTATTATTTTGTTTTAGGTGATCTTCTTCCTGCTGATGGCATACTTATTCAAGGCAATGATCTTAAGATTGATGAAAGCTCATTGACTGGTGAATCTGATCATGTTAAGAAGTCTTTAGATAAAGATCCCTTACTTTTATCAGGTATGAGTTTTCTTTAGAACTTTTAACTTTTTCCTCCTTCACAACTGTACACCCCTATCGGTAGTTTCCCTAAGAGCCAGTAATGCGAAGAGGATTCTGTAGTTTGTGTTAGCTTCTATCCTTGTAATCCTTAGAGACTTTTTTTTGTAAGCTGGCAGAGACTTTAGAGATCTTTAAATCCAAAACTGTTTTTTATAAATGAGAAGCTCGAGTCCAAAACACAGAAGATTTGAGAGTCAGTGTTAATGTTGTATAATGACAAAGTTAAAAGTATAAACTTAATGATCTCTGCTGAATTGATCATTTTTTCTGTGTTCATATTTATTCTTCAGGCCTAGTGAAATATAAAATTAAAGAATGATTATGTGTTTAAAGCAAATTAGTGCATTTTCTGTGATGATCTACATAGGACAAGTTTTCTGTTTTTAAAAAGCTCGTTAAAAAAAAAAGCTCGTAAATTCCTTAAAATTAGCCTAATCTCACTTCCTCATTTTAACTGCTGAGGAATGAGTCTGAGACATTAACTATTTACCTAAGGTAATATGGTTAATAGTAAATAGATCCAGGAGCAGTACCACATCTGCCAGACAGACCTGAATTTGTACATGGTTAAGACATGTTCTGAAAATGGAAGGGTGTGTATAGGTGAGGGTACTGTCTGAAAGGGGGGAGTAGGTGTCTACTTAGAAGGCTTTTGTAACAACTTGCTGTTGATAACTTGACCTGAGGTTAATTGAAATTGAAATGGAAGGGATGATGAAAAAAATTACAAGCTACCTTCTAAAATGAAAAGAAACCAAAGTACCACAACTTGTCTCCAAAAGTATGCCAGTTCCTTAACTTTTGTTTTCCAGTTTCCTATCTTAATTTTCTAGTATTCTTTGTAGAATTTGCAAAATTGCTTGTAAAACGTTTGTTTTAGGTATAGATTAGATTAGGTATAGATTTAGATTGAGTTACACTAGCATTTAGAGTAAGAAAATGCTGCCTATTTGTCTTTAATTATCATTTTCAGATGTTAATGGAATGCTAACATTTCCTACATTGTAAGGAGATTCTGCTTATTTAACCGTTTAATAACTTGGCAGCTATGCTTTTTCACGTCTTCTGTGTGAACTTTATATTCTAATTGGTCAGACATGGTTTTACTCAACCCAAAGTCAAACCTGTGACAAGGGTCAGTTACGTTAGAATCACAGTTGTGGAGCATATACCTAAGTTTAACCATTACCTTTTTAAGATTTGTAAATATGTGCCAAAAGGCTTATTGCAAAACATGCCGCCATTAAAAATCAGAGTAATTTCATGTATGTACATTTATAAACACCATTATGTATAGGGGGGAGGTTTCAGTTGTAATATAGACTTTCTCTTCTATGAAATACCTTCAGTATCCTGCACTACTAAAACCATTTATACTCCTTTAAGTTTTTCTTTATCTTGGTGTGCTTGAAATTCATTCCAGATAGAAATATCTTGGCTATATAATATCCTCTGTCCATGGAATTCTCCAGGCAAGAATACTGGAGTGGATTACCATTCCCTTCTCTAGAAGATCTTCCTGACCCAGGGATCAAACCTGGGTCTCCTGCATTACAGGCAGATTCTTTACCATCTGCGTCACCAGGGAAGCCCATATGTTAAGTTTAATGTTCCTTGTTTTACTTATTCCTTGCCATACTTCTAAGAAACTGCAGTTCATGTTAACCAAGTAAAATCTGTGATCTTTCCAAAGGAGAGGGAAGCTTGCTGGTCAGACCTAAGCCATAGACTGACCAGGCCATAGTATTTGGTGAACTGAGGCCATCTCCTCTGGTGTTTTTGCCACATGTACCTCATGGACTTTGCTGGTGGTACTTCTAGTTTATTCACACAGTGCTTAGCTCTTAGTGTCTTAGGTTGACATCCTGTTACGGAGCCTTGGTCCTTTTCTGTTTTAACAGAGATGACTGCTAAGTTTTTGGAGACTCAGGTTCTCAACACACCAAGTATATACCAAGAGGGACACGATAAATTTTCCATGTTTAAGAAAAGACTGAAATAACTTTCTGGAGTTGCTTATCACTGTATGGGTGGGAAAGTTTTTCTACGTTTATTTCCCTCTTCCAAAAATGTACTGAAAACATGAAATGCATTTATTTTTAAATTTATTCTCATGATGCCATCTCTCACTGCTGTTCTTGGCTTTTTAAATTTAGATGGTTAAAAGCAGTTATTCAGTTAGCAGTGAGGATATAACCAGAACAGACACTGTTTACTTTGCCTGAGCCTGTTAGCAGCCAGCATTCGATTACCTGTGGTAAAGACAAACATAACATAAATTGAAATTTGCTAAAAGCTAGAATTGTTAAAAGAAACTGTCTTTTATACTTAATCCTTGCTCAGCATATTAAAAAGCAGAGACATTACTTTGCCAACAAAGGTCCATCTAGTCAAGGCTGTGGTTTTTCCAGTAGTCATGTATGGATGTGAGAGTTAGACTATAAAGAAAGCTGAGCATAGAAGAATTAATGCTTTTGAACTGTGGTGTTGGAGACAACTCTTGAGAGTCCCTTGGACTGCAAGGAGATCCAACCAGTCCATCCTAAAGATCAGTCCTGGGTGTTCATCGGAAGGACTGATGCTGAAGCTGAAACTCCAATACTTTGGCCACCTGATGAGAAGAGCTGACTCATTTGAAAAGACCCTGATGCTGGGAAAGATTGAGGGCAGGAGGAGAAGGCGATGACAGAGGATGAGATGGTTGGATGGCATCACTGACTCAATGGACATGAGTTTGAGTAAACTCCGGGAGTTGGTGATGGACAAGGAGGCCTGGCGTGCTGCGATTCATGGGGTCGCAAAGAGTAGGACATGACTGAGCGACTGAACTGAACTTGCTCAGTAAATATTGTTTCACTGTCCTTCATTTCTTGTTTCTCTTGCATTTTTGCTGGCATAGGAGCTAATAATTAGTGAAGTAGTCAGAATATAGATTTTTTTAAAGCAAGAAAATCAAAGATTTTAAAATTCATATGGGATAAATCACTCGGTAATTAATAGCCAAATACAAATCCTTACGTTCTAGAGTAAGTACACATGCTTCACAATCTTACTTTACAAATAACAACTGAAGGTTGATTTATTACACAGGATGTTAGTAGGTGCTTCAGACCTGTCCTCCTGATGGTTGTGAAGTAGGAGATGAAATAAGTAAGTGATAACTATAAAGATTTTCAGTATTTAAACAAGAGTTTCAGTTTAGAAAGCTACTTAAAATTCACAAAAATATTAGAACAGAGAGGTGGGAAGCCTTGTAGTGAGTAAAGCAAAGATGCAGAGGTGTGGATGTGCAGGTTGAAGAGCTGTGAGCAAGATTAGCAGCATTATGAGGAGAATATGCCTTCTGTCCTCCTGGACTGAAGCTGCCTTGTCAGCTTGCAAGATTATTGTGAGGGACAGAGTCAGAATTCGGTCCGCGTTCCCGTCTCTGCCCGCTAGCTTTTTGTAATGGAGTTTTAAGTTTTATGTGAGAGCAATAGATGGGAAAATTTGGAAGGTGGATTGGTCTCCGTGTGGAAATTTTGGAATTTATGGAGTAGGCCATGTACAGTCAGCCTATGTAGAGTAGGCCATGTAGGCTCCCGTTTGGAGCCACGGGAGGCTTGGATAAAATCACATTTGAGGAAGGTTAAACCTTTTTCAGGATGAACCGGAAAGACAGAAACTTGCTAGGAAGCTGCTGCAGTGATCGAGGTGGGCTGGCATGACATTCTGGGTTAGGGAGAGGTTGTGGGGTTGTCTTAGGGATACGGCGGTTGTTGCTGTGTAATCCTTTTGGTTCTAAGCATATTTCTTTCTAAGTGACGGGTTTCTCAGAGAAATGTCCCTAATGATAAAAACACAGTTATAATTTAAATACTGACCATTCACTGAACCCTAGATTATACTTGATTCTCATTTTTAGAAAGTGCACATGTACTGTTATCCCCATCTGTGGACTGGTCATTGAGATGTTACACTTTGCCCCGTATCACAGGATAAATGAGTGCTGTAAGAGTGAGTTTTCAACTCAGATGACATATTACGAACATAAAACCTTAAGCACAAGAACTTAGGCTTCATTTAATATCTTACTGGATTTTAAAACCAAAGTTTTTATTGTTTTAGGTACTCATGTAATGGAAGGCTCTGGAAGAATGGTAGTTACTGCTGTAGGTGTAAATTCTCAAACTGGAATTATCTTCACCTTACTTGGAGCTGGAGGTGAAGAGGAAGAGAAGAAAGATGAGAAGAAAAAGGAAAAGAAAAGTAAGAAAAGCAGTGTGCCGAACGAACTGATGATCAGAAATACAGCAGCTGGATTGTAGTAGCTCACCCAATAAATACAGTCTTTCATCAGGTTTTGCTGTGAAGAGTTCTACAGAAGGTTCATTACCCAAAGTAGTACTTTCAGGTGTTAGAATTGATAGAAAGGATTTTTTTGTTTTAAGACTTAAAAGAGTTCATGAAAGGCTTTATGAAGACATCATCCCCTTTACCATAGTCAGACAAATTCAGCACCTCCTTGAACACTTTAAAAAATCTGTCATTTGCATTTGACCAGCAAAGTGAATTAAACTCCCAGTTCCTATTTACTTTTTTTTTTTTTTTACTACTTTCATATCTACTGTGATATGTCAGACATGTCACATTTTGGCCTTATTGAACTTTTTCATCTGTTTCAAGTTTCCTGCTACTTATGTAGTATCTTACTACATAAGATACTTGTTGGCTTTTAGACACACGATCAAGACTTCACTTTGACACCTGGTATGTTTGTCTTGTTATATTCAGCCCATCATTAGCTTATCAAGGTGTTAAAATTTTAATCTTGATACATTGTATCTACTGTCCCTACATGGGATCTATTATCAATAAGCTGGATAACCATAGTTTATCCACAAGGATCTTATAAGAAGCTCTGTTATATAGGGAAATAGTTATCAGAATCTTCACTGGGGAGTATGTCACTTTTTTTAAAAAGCCTTCCGTACTCTGCTTTTAATATTTACTGTACCACTGTTTACTCCAGTTTCTCCTTTTAGGGCAATAGCAGTTTACTGAGGTTTAACCACTCAGATTTATTTAATTTTACTTAGGCTAGTAAGCCCATATTTTTCTCACACACATAAGTATTCTGAAATCTTCTAAAATAAATGGTTTGCTATATCTATGTCATTGCTTTTAATATTTAGGTTAAATCTTTAGGTTTTATTCTTTGGGTTTTATCTTTAGCTATGAAATCTTTATTTCAAACAGAAGCATGTTTGAAAAGCTCTGGCTGCAGGCAAGGGTGGCAGGCTCCACAGTCTAGGTGTTTTCCTGTCCCACTCACAACAGTCCTCCATATGCCACCTTAAGGTTTCTTAAGGCATAGTAGAAGTCAATTTAGAAACTGTAGTGGTGATACCATTTACTGAGTGCTTTATATGCATTATCTCAATAATCTAAGACTTACTTTTTCTAGTGATGAGTAGATTGAGGCTTGTGCAGGTTGTGTAACTTGCTCCAGATTAAAAATCTTAGTGGCAGACCAAACCCACTTGTCAAACTCAAGAGTCTGTATTCTTAACCATATATTATATTGCATCCCAATTTTCAGGAGACTAAAGTCAACAGACCTTATTAAAAAAGAAAGGGAAGTTCATATCATGACCTTGTTCTTATTGACTCCAGTTTCTTTTCCAGTAAGCACCATTTTTCTAAGATCTGTTATACACCTATTTATTTTAATGCAGTTAAGAGTATTCCCAGGAATTAGCATCTGACTGTCTACCATTTTTGATTCTTAGGGGGGGTGTGTGTGTGTAAATTGCAGAGACCATTTTTTCATCTGTGGACTTTCAGCTCTTCTCACATTCCCTTGAGTAAATTAATATTATATGTTAGTATAGTCCAGGGTAATCTGTTTCATAATCTGAAATGTGAATGTTTGGTCTCACTCCAGACTTGACCTCATCAGAGTAGCAGGTATTCTGTCTCCCTTACCTGTCTTGAGTATCTGTTCCTCTTTGACCATATTTGCTCCATGTTTTCAAGTTTGAAGGTAGCACTCCTTGATGGATAAGTTCACTTTCCTCTTTTTTATTATTAATATGATATTACCTGCTCCAGACAATAGACCCATTCCTTCCCTGATTACTTTTTACTTCAGATGGTCTCATCATTCTGCGTTCTTCTAAGCTAGGCTAATTTAGGAATTGCCTTACCTAGCAGTCAGACTGACCTTGTATTTCCATGTTCCAGGTGTACCTGCTTGCCTCTCCTCTCTGTTACACGCACCGATTTGCTTCTCTTTCCCATCAAAGCTGCCCTGTGTGCCTCTGGTCTCCTAGGGCACTCCTTCCCTCTCTCCCTGTCTCTTTCCTACATTCTTAGGCTTGCATCTATATTTAGTTTGAAAACCTCTTGCACCATATTTGGATATATTGCAGCATAAAAAACGAGTAAAGCTTTATGGAGAAATCAACCCAAGTGTGATGCCCCAAATTATTTTATAGTGTTCCCCCATGGTTAAGACCTAGGGAGAGATTGAGCCAGCAGGCCATTACAGGCCAAATGCTTTGTAATCGGTACACACACACCCCATTGTGTAACATTTCTGTTATAGAAATGTGAACTAGCTTTGCATAATTTAGCATGGCTGTATTCATTTCTTTTGGAAAGCTTTAATTCCCATTTTGTTCCTACAGATAAGAAACAAGATGGAGCTATTGAGAATCGCAACAAAGGTAAATTCAGGAAGTTAAAAGTACGCTTAGCTTATTCTTATTATATCCAAAACTATATCTCTTGTGTACTGTATTCATCCAAAAGTAGGATACTTGTAGCAGAGAAAATTAGCAACCTGTATTACTTGGGTATATGTCTCTCTGGTCAGTGCCTGACTTCATGTTGCCTTAACATTTTGATAAGATTTTAATTACGGCATGTGGTAGTAAACTTTGGAAGCTCCAGATGTAGGTAACTTTAAACTTAAACATTTCAGGCATTTTTATCATTGGTTACTATGTCATTGCTGGCAGAAATGCATAAGCAACAAAATATATAATGTAAATTTTTTGGCGTCTATTTAAGAGTCTGAAAGCCTATGTACATTTCTCTGTATGTTTCTCACATGATGTTCTACATTATGGTTATAACTTATTGGGAGGAATTTATGGTGTTGGGAATGATACAACATCCAGGAGAAATGATTTGGTATTTAGCTGTTTTAGGACCCTGTATTTCTTCTTATGCCTCATCTCTATTTCCTAGCACAGCATTCTCAAAATCAGGTACAAAGTTTCAAAAGCTTAGTGTCACTGTTGTCTTATTTTCTCTGGGTAGGCACAGACATACACACTAAGGTAAATGTTTACATCTTTGTCTTTCTGTAAGAAATTGATTTCCCCCCCACACACACACCAAATTGCTTGAAAATGTTAACAGCTATGTGTGCACTTCAATATAGCAAAAGCCCAGGATGGTGCGGCCATGGAAATGCAGCCTTTGAAGAGTGAAGAAGGTGGAGATGGTGATGAAAAAGACAAAAAGAAAGCAAATTTGCCAAAAAAGGAAAAATCTGTTTTACAGGGGAAACTGACAAAACTAGCTGTTCAGATTGGCAAAGCAGGTATGATATATATAAGAAAATAAGGTGTTTTGTTTTAAAGTATGCTGACTTGCTATTTTAAATTATCTTTTGAGATACTTAAGACTGGAAATCATTGCTTTGTGAGTGGAAGGGGAGTTAACGGTATTTTCAGTTTTATCTACAGTGTACCTTTTGAGTTATTAGAGATCCTCATAATATTTTGAAACTTGGGAACGGTTATCATCATTTTATGTAGAGGGAGTGTCCTCTGTCAACTTGCTAATAAATAAATGGTCAGGTTAGGATTAGTGCTTAAGTCTACCCAATTCACAAGCCCATGAGCTTGTATCTGAGTTTCTGGGAGCAATAGCGAGAGGGCTTACTCCATACAAATTACCCAGCTATATTTTAATAAAAAGAAATTTCACCACACATCTTCTCGTCTTTTTATTGACTATGAAAAAAAAATAAGTACATGTTTTTCCAAAAATTACAGTTTACTTAAATTGAGTGGATTAGTTAGAGCATTGCCCTGGTGAGACTGAAGTTATAAATTAGAACCATCACTAGCAAACACCTGTTAATAGAACCACTCTTCAGGGGAAAATAAAACAGTGCTGTAGCTAAAATCAGAGCATGCCCTTCAACTGTATCATCTTTATGAAAGAACACAGGTGGCTAAATCAGCATATACTATTCAAGTCACATAGGGGCTTCCCTGCTGGGTTGGTGATGAAGGATTCACCTGCGATGCAGGAGACTCGGGTTCAATCCCTTGGTCATGAAGATCCCCTGGAGAAGAAAATGGCAACCTACTCCAGTATTCTTGCCTGGGAAATCTCATGGACTGAGCCTGTTGGACTATAGTCTATGGAGTCACAAAAGAGTCAGACATAACTTAGCGACTAAACAACAATTCAAGTCACTTACATTGCATCATTCTGTTACTTCCTGGGATTATCTCAGAAAAAGTTAAGATTTTACCTCTGTCCTCAGAAAGCTTATTATCTAGGAGATATTTGCTTTCTGTAATAGCCAAATGGTAATACTAAATCATAAAGAAATGGATGGATTTAAGGTGGTGATGGTGTTTTAGTAAACATCAGATTGGATAATTAGTCCCACATATGTGGACATGCCTTATTTTGTAATATTCATTTATAAGGAGATTAAACACGCCACAGAATAGAAAGGTAAATGATTTGTAATACGTGATTGACTCTTGGTTTTAGTTAATAAAGCAGTAAGGATAGATGAAAAAAATTAATTTCAGTAATGTGTGTTTTTTCATTAAAAAACATATGGTTGAATATTTAATTGCAGGTCTCCCCATTGATCAGATTCTTACCAACTTTTCTTTTGTCATTAAGCAGCTTATGCTAAGCTTTTGTATTTCTTTGTCATTGCTTGTTATTTTGCCTCAGCTTTAGTGAAAGACCGAAGATGCTGTTAAGTCTAGAAAAGAGTCATAAACACTTTTTTCCAGTTCTCCTGGTCAGAAGCAGAACTTTTAAATCTAACAATGTCAAGGGATAAGTTAGTGCAAAAAAAGTAGGTAACAGTTTCTCAGAGAAATTAAATACCACCCAAGTCGTTATGATTCTTCTAGTAGCTAATATGTAACTGACAATGAGTCCTGTCTGGAATATTTAATGATTACATTTTCCTTCTTTTTGTGTGCTGAAAGGTTTGTTGATGTCTGCCATCACAGTTATCATTCTTGTCTTATATTTTGTAATTGATACCTTCTGGGTTCAGAAGAGACCATGGCTCGCTGAGTGCACGCCAATTTACATACAGTATTTTGTGAAGTTCTTCATTATTGGAGTTACGGTTTTGGTGGTGGCAGTTCCAGAAGGTCTGCCCCTTGCGGTCACTATCTCACTAGCTTACTCAGTCAAGGTAAGCAGAAAAGACTTATGCACAACTGCCTACCCTTTTCCTTTCAGATTCTGAAAGTAGGGGACATCCATAAATTTATACTATTTCCTTTAGAAATTCTGTCATTGGCCCCCTCCTCCTCTCCCCAGTTGAAGATCTCTGCCCCGAGTCCTGTACATTCCTGAAAGGGCAGCCTTGACACGGAGCTCTGCAGAACTCCCCTGGGGAAGTTCCAGCTCACTTTTCCTCATGTGATGGTTGAGATGTCCGGTCCCCTTCTATTTCTCCTCTGTAAAATTGAAGTAAGCGTGTTTGTCGTTGGCCTGTGGTACAAGAGCAGAGTGGTTGACTCGACTCCAGCGCTCTAAGGCCTTCTTGCTGGACCCTCGTGACCCACGGTCCTGCCTTCACACGGTGGGCAGGTTCATGTTTCTAAAAACTAACTCAGATCGTTTTTGTATCTTGTGTAAAAACCCTCCAGTGGCTTCTCATCAGAATGAGATCCAGGGTTCCTCACCGTGGCCTGCAGGGCCTGCCCAGTCTCTCTCTCTTATGCTCATCTCCCACCTCTCTCGCCCGCCCTGGTGCAGCCTCAGCAGCCTTCCTCCTGTTCCTCACAAGCTCTAGCCCCCTCTCACTCTTGGACCTTCTCACTCTTGTGCTCCTTCCTTTGAATCATCAGCTCTCTGACTTTGCTCAGCTCTCTTCACGTGTCACTGTCTCTGACCACTCCGCCTGCAGTAGCACAGTCCTCCAGTTCTCAAAGCAGAGTGCTGGAAAAATGAGCTTTGATGTGTTTGCTGACTGCTGTTTTACTTAAAGGAATATTCTGTTTGAAGAATTATTAATTTCCTTTTTTATCAGTTTTATATCTTAAATGGTAAAAGCGAATTGGATTTTAAAAGACTTAGCCTGGACAGTTTTTTTATTTTTTTTAATTTTTACAGTACCATTGTGTTCATTTCTGCCATACAACAGCACAAATCAGCCATATTTATACATAGATCCCTTTCTTCTTGGGCCTCTGTCCCTTCCACCCATCCTACCCCGCTATGTTATATAGCAGTTTCTTCCCAGCTGTCCACTTTACGCACAATAGTGTGTATTTGTTGATACTACTTTTTCCACTCATTCCGCTTGCTCTCTCCCCTACTGTGTCTACAAGTTCATTCTCTACATCTGCCTCTCTGTTCTTTCCCTGCAAATAGGTTCATCAATACCATTTTTCTAGATTCTAAATATGTGCATTAATATACTATATTTGTTTTTCTCTTTCTGACTTACGTCACTCTGTATAACAGGCTCTAGGCTCATCCACTTCACTGGAACTAACTCAAATTTGTTCTTTTTAATGGCTAAGTAATATTGCTTTGGATGTATGTACCACGTCTTCCTTATCCATTCATCTGTTGATGGACATCTAGTTTGCTTACTAGTTGATGGACATCTAGTTTGTCTTCAGCCCGGATAGTTTTGATCTTTTTTTCAAAATGGCTTCACATATAAAATTATACCTAATGAAAGAATGCTGCTTTTGTCAATTTTTTATTATTAATTAGTATTTCTTCCTAAGTAGTATTGGTGACAGAAAGCAATACAAAGTAATTAATCATAGTTCCTGCTCTAGCACTCTCATCTTCAGTGTTCCCAAGAATTTTCAGCAGATTTGTCTTGATAAGAATATTTTTTGGCTTCCTGTTTAAGTTTATTTTCAGGCATTTCACATCTTTTGTTTCAAAAATGAAGTGAATATATCAAAGTAATAGTGAAGGTACAATCTGTTCATCTACTTGATGTCTTAAAATAATTAGAAAACAATTGAGGGTAAATGTAAGTTTTAGACACATAGGTAAAATCATTTTATTAGTACTGAAATTAGATTATTTTGAGTAGTCATTAATGATACTGATTTTTCAGTTGATCAAAAAGATATAGGCAGAATTGATCTGCATTTCTTTGACAAAATGAGTGGAAGCATTTTGACTGTTGTTCTTTAAGCTTTCATTAAATGTTTATTTAGCCCAAACGTTACCACTTTTCTTTCCACTGAGGTGTCCTCCTTATGGCTCCTCTGTTAGTGTTTCACAAAACTGAACACCTTTTTGTTTTTACTGCAGAACTCTTTTAATCTTTAGTATTAATGCAGATCGCAGTAATCTTCCTTCCCCAAACTTGTTTCTTCAAGGAACCAGCTTCTTGCAATATCTTGCACATTAGTAGGCACAGAACATACTTTGTAAAATAACTGCAGTTTTTAACCCATTCCAGTTCATGTTTGAGGAATCAATTATTAAGCATTTTAACCTAAATGCCCTTTGGAACTGCAATAAAACTCTTATTTTCTTTAGAAACTGTCTTTTTCTTGTAAATAAGAGGAAGGGATGATCCTCAGGATGAGAATGCCAGTGTACCACCATAGGGAGAAGATAAAAGTGACCCTTGCTGGTTTTGATATGTTACCTCAATCTGTCAGAGTCAAAAAGAAAAAAAAATTCAGGCAACTACATGCCCACAAATTCTATATTTTAACTGACAAAAGCTACTTTTTTCTTACTAACTGATTCAAGAATCTTTTGTTTTCCACTTAACAAGGAGACTTAAACCTTACATGTAAATACACTGTTCCGTGGCTGTGAGTACAAGTTCTCATTGCTCTTGCAATTTGAGGCTGCTTCCTAGAAGCTGTTGGAGGCATGTCAGCATGATTTGCATGTGGGTATCTGCCTTCATTTACTAGATTATGTTATGTAGTGGGAAACTTATTGAAGCCACAGGAAGCTAGTACTTTCTTTAGCTTATTTGAATAGGCCATTTATATTAAATTCTTCCAGTATTAAATCAGTGCTTTATACTATGTATCCAGGTAAAGTTATCGTTCTGATTTTAAAGCAGTTTGCAATCATTTTGATATAATGAGGTCATGGGTTTTGTGTGTAGCTTAACTACCTCTTTTTTCTGTCACTGTAGAAAATGATGAAAGATAATAATTTAGTAAGGCATCTGGATGCTTGTGAAACCATGGGGAATGCTACAGCTATTTGTTCAGATAAGACAGGAACGTTGACAATGAACCGAATGACAGTCGTTCAAGCTTACATAAATGAGAAACATTATAAAAAGATTCCTGACCCTGAAGCCATTCCACCAAATATTTTGTCCTATCTTGTAACAGGAATTTCTGTGAATTGTGCTTATACATCAAAAATATTGGTAAGGTCTCTCTAATAATTTATGGATGAAAATGAATTTTTCCACTTGTGATGATTTGACTATATGAGTTCTTAAGCTTTATGACTGTTATTTATAAATTGAAGAAATGAGTTAAGTTTTTAAATAAGATCTGTTGATCAGCATATATATATGTTTACTTGTATTTTCCTCCTATATTTTGAATTTTTTGTGTTTAGAAACTTTAGAGCCACATAACCAGAATAAGTCCTCAATTTAAAATTTCTGCTTCATTCATTTCTTTAACGACTAAGCTATCTTACTGTAGCAAGTCAACTTTCAATCTCCAGGAGCAAATTTTGAAGCCAGATTTTAACTTACTGTGTGTCATATATGCTTGCTATTGGCTCTGTTTGGTTTCTTAGTAGATCGTACCTATAAGGTGATTCTTAAATCTTTGGGACTAACTGGATAAAGTAACTCTAGACTTGTGGTACCTTAGAATAAAATATTTTTAACTTTGCACATTAAAAAATTTTTTTTATAACATAAACCATGAGATTGTTTGGCTGATATGTGTTCTAGTGACTTATGGATGAAGACCGTAAATGCAGTTAATATTGCATGAATTGGATTATTGGACTGGAAAGTTATGAGATCTTGGTTCTACATCTAGCTTTGTCTTTTACTAGCTGAAAGCCTGAGTTTTACTTTCTTCAGTTGTTAAGTAAAGATGGTTTCATCTGCCCTTCATACTGTTGTGATGATTACAGAAGGAGTTATTTGTGAAGATACGCTGAAGGAAATAAAGGTTTTATATGTATTTAAGGCAACTGTATTTTAATGACTATACTTTTATTTTAAGCCATAAAAAATGGTAAAGTAGATTCAATTTTGAACTATTTAATATAAATGCTTATGAAAACAAGAGAAAAGGAAGGGAATTAAAAGTTATTAAGTCCTATATGTGTCAGGCTGCATGAATCACAAGCCAGAATCAAAATTTCTGGGAGAAATATAACAACTTCAAATATGCTGATGATACCACTGTAATGGCAGAAAGTGAAGAGGAACTAAAGAGCCTCTTGATGAAGTTGAAAGAGGAGAGTGAAAAAGCTGGCTTAAAACTCAAATGTGCAAAACTAAGATACAGTATATGGTCCCATCACTTCATGGCAAATAGAAAGGGAAAAAGTAGAAGCAGTGACAGATTTTATTTTCTTGAACTCCAGAATCACTGCAGATGGTAACTACAGCCCTGAAATTAATACACACTGGCTACTTGGAAGGAAAGTTATGACAAACCTAGACAGTGTATTAAAAAGCAGAGACATCACATTGCTGATAAAGGTCCATATAGTCAAAGCTGCGGTTTTTCCAGTAGTCATGTATGGATGTGAAAATTGGACTATAAAGAAAGCTGAGCACTGTAAGAATTGATGGTTTTGAATTGCGGTGTTGGAGAGGACTCTTAAGAGTCCCTTGGACTGCAAGGAGATCAAACCAATCAATCCTAAAGGAAATCAACCCTGAATATTCATTGGAAGGACTAATGCTGAAGCTGAATCTCCAGTATTTTGGCCACCTGATGTAAAGAGCCAACTCACTGGAAAAGACCCTGATGCTGGGAAAGATGGAAGGCAAGAGGGGAAGAGGAAGGAAGAGGATGAGATGGTTAGATAGCATCACCAACTTAATAGACATGAGTTTGAGCAAAGTCTGGGAGAGAGTGTAAAAGACAGGGAAGCCTGGCATGCTATACTCCACGGGGTTGCAAAGAGTCAAACATGACTTAGTGACGAAGCAACAGCAACATGTGTCAGGAACCAGCTTTAAGCTCTACACGTCTTACCTCATTTAATTCTTGGGTGCTCCTGTTGTCCTGATGTTGAAGCCAAAAACCGCAGCAGTTGAGTTACTTGCCAAAAATTCACATAGCTAGTATGTGGCAGGGCTGAGAGTGGAATCCATGTCATTTTTGCCCCAGAGCTTTTTTCAGCCTTTCTTTTTCTATGTTCCACTTTGAAATGCTGATACTAATAGAAGTTTCCTATATGATTTTGTTTAGAATGTCTTGCTCTGTTTTGATTCTAAATTAAACTGTCATAGAGAAACAGTATGGTACTAGCTTCTAAACCTTTTTCTCTTATAGCCACCAGAGAAAGAGGGTGGATTACCTCGTCATGTTGGTAATAAAACTGAATGTGCCTTGTTGGGACTTCTTTTGGATTTAAAGAGGGATTATCAGGATGTTAGAAATGAAATACCGGAAGAAGCACTGTACAAAGTCTACACCTTCAATTCTGTCAGAAAGTCCATGAGCACTGTCCTGAAAAATTCAGATGGAAGTTACCGAATATTCAGCAAGGGTGCATCTGAGATAATTCTGAAAAAGTAAGAGTAAAATGCTTAGATGAATAAATTGCTCACTATGGTCGCTTTATGGGAATACCTACTCTGTCGTTATTGTTGATACTTTCTTTTTGTGAACTTCAGGCGTTAGCTAGGACCTTCAGAGTTTTTTTATTAGTGTTATTTAATGGTATTGATCTTTTGTCCAGGGTATTCTGCCATTCTCATACTCCAGCTTCTTTTATTTCTTAATGTTTTGTTACAGGGAAATAAGCCCATTACGTTCAATCTGTATGGTTTAACAAAGTGAACATTGATACTTGTTCTTAGGTGTGTTGAGTCCACTGCTGTATAGGATCACGAAAAATAAAAGCCTCCTGGGAAGAAAAATTAATGGTCATGTTTTCTATACCACATTGTAGATAGTGGTGAATGAATTACGCATTAGTTTTTAGAATAACAAAGCATTAAAACTTGATCTTGAGGCTCCTCCTTTTATATCAGAGTGAGGTTTTATCATACTTATGCTACTGTATTGTTGTATTTAAATACCTGCTGTCATTTTGGATGGTAATCTTTTTTTTTTTGTACTGTCCATATACAGACCAGTGGCCCCAGTTTTGACATCACATGTTTAAATATAATTTTCCTAATGCTTATCTGTTATTACAAGCATTGAAATTTAGTGCTGTCTTTCTATTTTCTTGCCTTAAGGCTCCTGTATTTTTAGTCCCATTCTCCTGTACTTTAAAAGAAGGAAATATTTGGAAATTTTGTGTTACTTAAGACTAATATCTAAATCTATACCAAAATGTACAGGTACATAGTTTATTCTTCTTTGCCACTAGGGGTTTTTTGTGAAAATTTTAAAGCCCTGCATTTCCTAAAGAGAAGTTTTAAGAATATCTTGAGTAGCTGATTCAATGAGGAATGATCAAATGAGAACCATTAAAAGAGAACTGTTTTGTAAAGTGGAGAGAGAAAAGTAAATATGGTTGAAGCCTGTAAAAATGCAACATACATAGTTCTCTGAATTCCAGATAATCAGATTACATGATTTCTAGCCCGTCCAAGTCACTTAAATGGCATTAACTATTATCTTTGTTAATTATTGATGTTTGGATTCAACATTTCCTTATAGGTGTTTCAAAATCTTGAGTGCTAATGGTGAGGCAAAAGTATTCAGACCAAGGGATCGTGATGATATTGTAAAAACTGTGATTGAACCGATGGCATCAGAAGGCTTGAGAACCATATGTCTTGCATTCAGAGATTTCCCAGCAGGAGAACCAGAACCAGAGTGGGATAATGAAAATGATATTGTCACCGGCCTTACATGCATTGCTGTTGTGGGCATTGAAGATCCTGTGAGACCTGAGGTGGTGAAACATTCTGTGTTCTGCATGTGCAGAAGGCACTAACTATAACCGGTTTTCTAGTAAAATTCTTAGCGTTTGTGATTTTCTTTCCAGTGTGAATCCAAGATGAGTGAAATAATAGTGCTTGGGATGCATGTGCTACCTGTTTATGGTTTTAAATTCAATAACTCCTCTTTGGGACCCTCCATGTTTATATAGCACCATAACCAGTGCCTTGAACTGGGTAGGGTTTTTTCCATTGATATTTATATTATATAGTAAATACCATTAAGTTATGTTTTCATGCTCTTTGGTCCAGCACTGTCCAGTAGGACCGTCTGCAGCCATGGAATTGTTCTGTGTTGTTCCATATCACAGCCACTAGCCACATGTGACTACTGAGCTTTTGAGGTGTGGCTAGTTCAACTGAAAAACTGAATTAGAAAATTTTGTTTTCAATTTTAGCATCTTGCTATCATACTGGACAGTCCACAGCTGTAGACTTTGCTTTTTTTTTTTTCCCTTAGTTCTTTTTTTTTTTCTTAAGTTTATTGAGCAAAAACTTTTTTAAAGTTATTGAGACTATACTAGGATACTGGAGACATAAAGATTTTTGAGATCTGGTTCCTAGCCTCAAAGAAGTTACTGTCCTAGGTGGGAGTGGACAAATACATAGTTATAACCAGCATGTTAGTACATAGATATATATGGAAAGCATGTTACATGAGCACAGAATATGAGCCCCCAACCTTTTAAAGTAATAACATTTTTAATGCCTTCTTACTGTGTGCCAGCTTTTATGCTTAGAGCTTTATGTGTATTATTTTACCTAATATTCACCTCTGAGTTGTAAGTATTATTACTTACAGAAAGATGAAGAAAAAATTGAGATTTATAGAAGCTAGCTGTAAACCATAGAGCTAGTATGTTCAAACCTAGCTCTCCTTAAGATATCTGTGCTTAAAAAACGACTGTGCTATATTAACCCCGAGAGGTGTCAAGTAACGGACTTCCCAGAGATTACCTGATGTGAGTCTTACAGGATGAAGAGGTATTAGCTAGACCAAGAGAGAGAGAGAGGAAAGCACATTTGAGCAAAGAAACACCATGAATAAAAAGCACAAAGGCAAAAAATAGCTTTTGTTCAGTGACTATCATCAACTAATTGCTTCAACACCCAATGTGTAGTACCAGGCACCCATCTAGGAACTGGAGACTGCAGTGAACACAGTAATTAGGAAACTTACACTCTAGAGAGGTAACACAGCAGATAAAGTACTTGGTGTACCTACCAAGTGAAAACACATTCTGTAAGGACTAAGACTTGCTCCCTGCCATCATAGGCCTTCTGATCTAGTTGGCATGGGGCATGAGGGGGCATCAGCTATGACAGTACAAGTGAAATCAGGGCCATAAAGGATATGCACAAGAGTGATAAAGATAACAGAGACCCCATGTTAAAGACTTCAGAGGATTTAACATTTCAGTTGAGCTCTGATGGCTGGAAGTGAGCCAGCCTTGTTAAGTAGCTGCAAGAACAGTATTACAGGAGAATGGGACAAAAAATACAGGAGCCTTAAGGCAAGAAAAAAGAAAGATAGCACTAAGACGTGTCTGGCTCTTGTGATACCATGAACTGGAGCCTGCCAGGTTCCTCTGTCCGTGGGATTCTCCAGGCAAGAATACTGGGGTGGGTTGCCATTCCCTTCTCCAGAGGAACTTCTGACCCAGGAATTGAACCCAGGTCTCCCGCATTGCAGGCCGATGCTTTACCGACTGAGCTATGCAGGAAGTATTTAGCTTTTCAAAGATAGAAAGGAGGGCAGTGTGGCTGTAAGCCTGACCAAGAAAGAGCAGATGAGGTTATCTTTGGCCTTACCAGGCAGTGAGGGCTCTGAATTTTATTCTGAAATGCCGTGGAAAGTCACTGAAGAAATTCAGGCTGGAAAATGACATGATTCATGTTAAAATTGTACGTGGAGTACTCTGTAAGAAATAGAGAAGTCGACACAGAGAACCCAGTGAGATGATTGCAGTCATCTCAAACAAGATATGATCATGGCTTAGTCAGTTGTGCCAGGGAAGTTGGAAGGAAAAGTTTGATTTCAAAGGAAATGGAGGTAGAACCACTAGATATTCATGTGTTGGATTTGGATATATATATATCTGACATTGTGGAGGTGTCCGAAACAGCCAGTTATATTTCAAGTAGGCATTTGGAACTAGAGGCCTGAAAGTGAAGTAGGCAAGAGAATCTCTTGAGGAAAATGTGTAGCTAGAGACTTAGGACAGAGCTATCTCCTAGTAACTGTTCTAGAGGAGTAGGAATCACTCTTCAGCTTGCATAACTGAGTGGCTGGTAAATGGTATTACCAATACAGTAAGAGAGTCAGACAAAGCTGCCTATTTAGAGGTCAAGGTAAATTCAGTTTGGAGTTCAAGAGTTTCAGATGCTTGTGAGACATCCAGATCATGTTTGCCAACCTTTGGTCAAAGGAACACCATTCAAAGTTTTATACATTGTTTTATGGCTTAAATCTTATCTAAATACAATGTTAAATCAGGATTCCTTCAACTTCTGTCCTTTGGAAGATGTATTGCTCATTTTGTGTTCTTGGCACTGAGGTTGATAGGTTTATTTATTTTTTTTTAACACAGAAGTGGCAATTGATTTCTTCATTATCGCAAAACGAGATGAGTGCTTGCAGTAAAGTGAGACAGTGTAATAGGAGGTGGCTTTCCAGAATTCATCTTCTGGACCATGCAGTCCTCATGTAGAGAATCTTGATTAATTAGATACCTGGACTAAATCCAGCTTTATTGCATATGCATAGATGCTTTAAAAAAGGATTTAGCTTCTCTTCAGTTTCTCTGTAAAATTGGAGGTAACTTGTGAGCTGTAAGTGGATGTATTTGGTGATTAGTGGGCTGTTAGTAATTGTTCGCTCTCTTAAACACCATTTGCCACATAGCTTTAGCCAAGACCAGTTGCCGCTCTCTTAGCCTGCTCTCCTCATTGCTGCTGCCTGCGTGGCCCGCTGGGCGTTTGCATTTGCAGCCTCTGTTCTTGAAGGGTTGTCGTGGACTTTCTGCTTAGAGAAGAACAGGAAAGGATTTTCTCGGCAAAGGGAACTGCGGAAGCAGAGGTCCCAAAATTATACACAGATTGAGTGTTTAATAGAGGGAAATTTAGGTCTTGGAAGCTATTTTTTTCCTAATTCTTTTCTGAAACACAATCATGATACTTAAGACTTTTAACAATAATTCCTAAATATTCAGTATTTTTAAAATTTCCTAAATTGTACCACAAATACGTATTCAAATCAGAATCACCCAGGGCACACATTAAATTTATTGCCATGCCCCTCAAAGTCTTAACCTAGAGGATCTATAAGTTTCCTCTCTTTTCCATTCTTTCAGATTACCTGTCAAAGAAAATTGTTTTATTTTCTTCTCATCAGCAAATAAACTGCCATATTTTTGCAAATTATCTGTAGAAGGACATGTATCCTGGAGAGTTTTCTACATTCCATATATTGCTGAGTGCTTTCCTTCTGTTTCCTGTAAACTGGAAGTTAGATCTAGAGTAGGGTTTCCAGATAAAATACAGTACACCCAACTAAATTTTCAATTTTATCTAAACAGTTTTTTTTTTAATGGAAGAGTGTCCAATAGTACAGTATTTAGTCATCTTTTTTTTTTTTAATTGAAATGTAGTCAACTTACAATATTGTGTTAGTTTCAGGTGTACAACCAAGTGATTCAGTTATACAATTTTTTCTTTTTTATTCTTTTCCATTATAGGTTATTACAAGATATTGAATATAGTTCCCTGTGCTATACAGTAAATCCTTGTTTATCTACTAGGAAACTATTCTGAAGCTCAAGTGTGATACTCTATTATACTGAGAACTTTGTGGTTTATAGTATAACAGTTGAGGAATCGTCATGTATTTTTAAGAAAGTGTATTAGAGAAAGAACTCTATTGTCAGGTATATCAGATGTTTTAAAGGGGAAAAAACATAAACACAGGGATGCCAATTTAAAAAAAAAAAAAAAGCTTTTGCAATAGCTCGGGGAACAAGCATGGTGACGGGAAGCCAGGGAAGGTTTGAGGTCCAATCTGCAGGATTCTTTGGCCCTTAAGGATGTAGAGGGTAAGGGAGATGGAGGAGGTCAGATCATCGTTCGGTTCCTATTAGATAGAAAGCATAGTTTCCCTTTTGGACACCCACATTCTGATGTCTGCTTTTCTGGTATGACTAAGAATCCATCTCTCACAATGAGCTGGGAAAAACATGTAGCTCTGAAAGTAATCATGTAGATGGTGGTTGGAGGTTCTAGAATAGGAGAGATGACCCTTAAAAGATAAAGGGTTGGGTGGAAAGTGAGTCTCTCTTTACCCCAAGGACACCAACAGTATACGCCTGGTGTCTGGGCAGTAGAACCTGAAAGATAGAAAGCCAACCAGGAAAGAATTGTCTAATGGTTGCCAGGGGGAAAGGTGCTGGGAAAGGCCTTTGGCAAATAAATAATGCAGGCAAGTTAAGTCAAATGATAACTGAAAGTGAAACCTAAACTAGGCCTGTAGCAGTGGAAGAGGAAAGAAGAGGTTATTGGGCATACTGCGAGAAATATTTAATATCTTGAGACGAAATGAAGGTTGTCATTTGTGGGACTTTGAGGCATCTATATTTGTTCAGTGGGATTTTTTTTCCCCATCCTGGAAATACTCTAATTTTCTTCCATGATATGAATTTTTTCCACATTAACCAGGTGCCAGATGCAATAAAGAAATGTCAGAGGGCTGGAATTACTGTGCGGATGGTCACTGGTGATAATATTAATACTGCTCGGGCTATTGCCACCAAATGTGGTATTTTACATCCTGGGGAAGACTTTCTTTGCCTCGAAGGTAAAGATTTCAACAGGAGAATACGAAATGAAAAAGGAGAGGTAAGGGTGTTTTATTTTTTAAGCTGCTATATTTTTAGTATATTAGGGAATTCATTTAACAAATACACTTTGCATATGCACTGCGTGTTAGGCATCACACCTGGAAAGGTGCAGCCCTCACCCCAAGAAGCAAAACATTTTAGGAAGTAGAGGGAACAAGTGATAAAGAAATTTGCCTTGAAGGGAATGAGTGGTTTTTTTTTTCCAGTCCAGGCCCAAGAAATACAGTATGTGTAAGCCAATAAGGGGAGATGATTTTGGACAGGTTGCTATGGACCATATTTTAGGAGGCCCCAAACTGCACTACTTATGCTAAGGAGTTTTCATGTTCATAGGCAGTGGGGAGATGGTTAAAATTTGATCTTGTAATGATATGTATAACATTGTTCTCAAACTTGAGTCTGCATCAGAGTGACCTAGAGAGCTTTGTGTAATAACTGGATTACTAGGCCCCACTTCACAGTATCTTTATCAGCTAGGCCTTGGATCTTGCTCAGCAATTTCCGTTTCTAACAAGTTCCCAGGAGTTGCTGATACTGCTGGTCTGGTAACCATCTTTTGAGAACCACTGATACAAATGCTAGATAGCTAATTTGGAATTAGAAAATTAGGCTTGGGCATGTTTTAACTTTGACGAAAATTTATAGATTGAGCAAGAGCGGATAGACAAGATTTGGCCAAAGCTTCGAGTGCTTGCAAGATCATCTCCTACTGACAAACATACACTGGTTAAAGGTGAGTAGGTTTTGCAATTTTCCCACAATTTCTTGATACAGAAATGCACTGTTTCCTAAAATAGTAACAGAAACTGAGTATTAGATTGAATCATGGATGTCATCTTTGCCAATAAAATCTACATACATTTCCTGTTGATACCTTAGGTGGATTGTGTTTATTCTCCGTGAGTAAAACAGGATATAATTGCTAATACAACAGTTTCGGGAGTTGTTCCATGCCCAGCATCTCAGCAGTTTCCATTTCTCTATGTTTAATTATTGATTTTGAACTTTGAGTCTGTAAAACTGGTCAGCCAAGGTATATCCTACAGAATCACTATTAAATGAAACGAATTGTTTTTACAGCACAAATACTTTTATTCCAGGTATAATTGACAGCACTGTATCCGAACAACGCCAGGTTGTAGCTGTCACTGGTGATGGTACAAATGATGGCCCGGCATTAAAGAAAGCTGATGTTGGATTTGCAATGGTAGGGACTCACCTGATTCAAATATTCAGATGTAATTTACTGGCTGGGTTTTCTGTTTGTTTGGTTTCTTTGTTGCTAAATTGCTATTGATTTTAAGCACTGTCCATCTACCCTTGAGGAGCAGTGTATAAGCCGAAATTGGTTTATAAGTCTAATTAGTTCATATAATAACTTGTTTATGATGCCAGAAGAAGACTCCTTTTGAACAGTTATAATAAGATCATACATTTACGTTGTACTCTGTAAAGTACATAAGTGTCTATATGTCAGCAGAACCTTATAGTGGTCCTGTAGGGGACAGGCTTAGTCCAGTTATGCGTATTTAAATTAAGAATAAAATTAGGAATCTTGCACTCAACTGAAAATGTCTTGAGTAACTTTTAAGAATAATCATTTCATATGTAATCTAATCTTGTTCGATTGAAAAAAATCTGCTTCACCCCACCCAAGTTCTCAATTTATATTTGATTATTTAAAAGTGCACAGAAATTTCAGCCTTTCAATATTATTTTCTTTATACTATAGCCATAGTACTGATGAAGTGTTTACTATAAAATAGATATCATGAAATACACATGCTACATAAATATTTAATGATTAAAATTAGACTGTGGAATCTTTGAATCCAATCCTAATATTTCAGTGTTGGAATGAATCTTTGTACTTACCATGCCATAGAAACTAAGTATTTTATTTAATTTTAATTTGATTGATTTAACTTTTGGAATATACAAGTCCGTAATCATAATTCTCAAATCCAAAAATACAAAACTGGATTTTTTCCCCTAAATTTGCAGCACACTCATTTATTGCAAAAAAATATTCTGGATGATGTGAGGATGTTATTTATCACATTTAATACGAACATTCATAGTCATTGTAGAAATAGAAATATTAATGTGTTTTTATGGGATGCTAACCTTGTCTGGGAGAATTTGTGATAGAAGGTATGTGCTTCTGAAGTATGATCAGGCTTTGAATTCTGAAATACAGTCAGGCCCCAGGTGTTTCAGATAAAAGAATATTTATGTGTACCAGTGTTTATTTGCATAATTTATCCCCCTGATATTTTGCTGCTAAAATAGGGGTTTAGTATGAACCATCACCATGGTGGCTGCCTTTCAGCAGATGTTAGGGAGATGGAGGAAGGAAATGATATGAGTAAAGTACCCTCAACCAATAGCTGTGAACCCAGAGTTTCCCATCCTGCCCTGTCCCAAAGTCATTATGGTAAGCAGTACGTTGGTGTGAACCTCTGAAGAGTGGAGAAAAGTAGCTGAGAGGATAAGGAATATTGCAGGGCCATTGCTTTGGCTGTGAGCAAAACAGGTTCACTTTGGAAACAGACAGGATCCATACTTCTGCTCTCATCTGGACAGCTGACCAGGAATGTATTTATGTACAAAGCATTTTAAAATTTAAAAACAAAAAAACCTTCTTCCTAAAATTTAAGTGTTTAAGCAGATGCTAAGGGCTTTAAATAATGGCAGGTAAATGCAGTATTTCGAACAAAAGCACATACAGCCACTTATCTTATTTGATTTTTAAGCTGTGAAAGTTTTAAGCCCATTTTACCAACTTTTTTTTAACGGTAGCACGTCAAAAAAAAAAAAAAGTCTAAATATATTGTAGTGGGTTTTTTTTTCTGTATGAAGAAAGAATAAGTGCTTGGTGGCTTGGACTTGAAAAGCATTCTTGCTCAAGCTTGAATTTACTTTGTATGTTTGTTCACGTCTTCAATTTCGTATTTTAAAACTGAAAGACAAAATTATCTTGGGGTTTTATTAGAGACCCACAAAAGTTGCTTTCAATTAGATCTGTCTAAACTTGTCTCTTATATATATCAGACAGAAATAGTATTTTAAAACACTCTATTCTCTTTCTCTCCTTTTTTCTCTCTCTCCCTTTTTCTCTCTCTGTGTCTGTATCTATGTATATTTAGCAAATTCAACATTAAAATTTACAGCAATAAAATAAAGGGACTGTAATGTGAGTACATTATTAGCTTACAAAGAGACCTGGCATTTTCCCCTACTTAGCCACTCCTTTTAGAATTCCTTTAGATGGCAAGTTTAAAATACGATTACATTATTTTAAAAATGATATTGCATTATTCTTACCGAGGGGCTTCCCAGGTGGCACTAGGGGTAAAGAACCCACTGCCAATGCAGGACATTGGGTTCGATCCCTGGGTTGGGAAGATCCCCTGGAGGAGGGCATGGCAACCCACTCCAGCATTCTTGCCTGGAGCATCCCCATCCACAGAGGAGCCTGGCGGGCTACAGTTCATGGGGTCGCAAAGAGTCAGACGTGACTGAAGCAACTTAGCATCCACGCATTCTTACCAAAATTCAGTTAACCACACATCTACAGATATTTCTGTTATCAAAGCCTGAATGCCATGATGTATTAATATTTCTATAACCAGGTATGCATCTGTGGTAATAAAATCTTCCCTAAGGTAGTTAAAATATCTTAATTTAAAATACTTTCAGACTTTGGGTTAATAAACATTTGTTTCTTCTCCAAACATCAAGAAGCTGTTTCCAGTATTCTGGTCCAGAGGTGAGTAGTTGCTGCCTCCTAAAGGTTCAGCACATAAGGGAGTAAATCAGTGAAGGACTAAAAACAGCACTGGGCATGCCTGCAGGAGGAAGTCCTAGACTCTGTCTCTAGAGGCGCAGAAAGGTTTTCTGAAAGAGGCGCCCTTTGAGCTGAGGGAGGGAGGAAAGTACTGCTAAGAGACTCCCAAGAATTACAGGTAGCCTAACTTCACTCGAAGAGGGTGTGGTGTTGATGGGTGCTAGATGTGAGGATCAGGAGGGCCTTGACTATGAATCTGAGCAGTTTGTTCTTTTATCCTGTAGATCAGCAGTTCCCAAGCAGACTTTGGATGTCTGACTTTTTGCAGCCCCGTGGACGGCAGCCTGCCAGGCTCCTCTGTCCATGGGATTCTCCAGGCAAGAATACTGGAGTGGGTTGCCGGTACTATTCTTGATATTGGCAACCCTCTCCAGGGAATCTTCCCAACCTAGGGATTGAACCCAGGTCTCCTGCATTGGCAGGTGGGTTCTTTACCACTGAGCCACCTGGAAAGCCCCAGCATACAGCTCTAAGAAGCTCATGAAAAAGCAATTTTAAACTCTTTGATAGAAAGTTTCCCAAGTTTGTTTCACGATGGGAATAGTTTTTATTTGGACACCAATTAACATCTTAAAGTTGCTTTTTAAATTTCAAAAGATTTTGAACAGGGGAGTGTGAGATTTGCATTTGCTAAAGATGGAGAACGATTAGAGGCAGGGAAATATGTTGGGTTTAGATGTGTTAAGTATGTTGCATATTAAAAGTAAAATATTCAGATTAGGAGCTAGAGACCAAAATTTTACATTAAGATTGCTCCTTCGTGAACTATTTCAAGAAAAGCTTGATTTGGACTTTGTTTTTGTGTTTATCAAAACAATATTACATAGCTTTTAAAAAGTCAGACAGTTGTATAAGACTTGATAAACTACATCCCCTACCACATACCATTTCTTACAGCTCATTTTTTGACTAAAGAAAACCAACTATTTTTGCTGTTTCTTTTCCTTAGCTGTTTGCCTCCATTTATCTAAATGGCACAATAACAAGGATCTTTTTAATTTGTTTAATAAACAGCATCTGTTGATGACTTTTCATTTAGGAAGGTAAGGATTTAGCACTTTGGTAGGCACACACAGAGACATCTATAAGCATTCATGCACACTTTCGAGCCTGTCTTCTTCCATCAGAGTTAGAGATCAGCCAGTATACCATCCTTATTGTGATTGGTTATAGTGATTGGAAATGCTGTTCCAAGGTGAGCCATGTGGTCTCATAGCTATTGTTACTTCCTTGCGTGACGTTTTGTATTCACTGTACATTTTCAAGTCACCTTTTAATCTTTATTTATCTGTTTATTTCCTTAGGTTTTTTTTTTTTAATGTTCTTAACACTAATTCATCTCCATCTTCTCCTTTCCTTATGTCAGAGATGTCAGGCACTTTTACAGTCCTGCCTTCTCACTAGTACCTCTCCCAGATCTTTTGACATGCTTTCATCGGAGCTCTTTGCACAGCTGTCTCTTCTTTCTTCATACCTAAGAATTTCCTTTATTATGTTGCATTTATTATGTTGCATTTCCCTCTATTATGTTGCATTTGAATTTCTTAGATTTGGTGTCATTATCTTTTTAAAAAAACTTTATTGGAGTATAGTTGATTAACAAAGTCGTGTGATATCATCATCTTCTTTGGTTTACTCTCTCATGTAGTAAAGCCATCTCCAATAGACTCCTGAGAAAAAGGATTCATGAAAGTTAAACTTTTTCATAACTTTTATGAGTGAAATCTCTTCTTTCTTCAAAGACTCCTCCTTGATACTTAGTCCGACTTGGTATAAAAATACAGATCGAGAATTACTTTCACTCAGAATTTTGGATTTGTACCTTCATTATATATCATTTTGAAATTTGAACTTCTCTCTGTTTTTCTTTCCGTTTTGTTGGTATGTTAAGTCTTTCCTTTGTTCTCAGTCCTCTGAAATGTCATGATGTTTTGTCTTAGGGCAGCTTTTTACTATGAAAACTCATTGTCTTCAATTTTGTGAAGTTCCCTTATACTCGTCTTATTTCTTCTCCGCTGTGTATTCTTTGTGGATTTGTCCCCCTGATTTTTTAACCTCATGGGCTTGCCTTATTTTGTCTTTTTTTTTTTCCCCTGTCTGCCGTACTTTTATCATCTTGCAGGAGTACAGGAGTGATTTTCTCAGCTTCTGTTGTATTTTCATGTCTGTGATCATATATTTAATGTCCAAGAGTTGTTTTTGGATCTCTGAGTTCTTGTTTCATTGCTGTGCCTTTTGTCATTCTAAGGATTTGATTTTTTTTTTTTTTTATGTCTTCTGCATTCACTGGTGGTTTCTTTACCACCAGCACCACCTGGGAAACCCAGATTTTTTTTTTTTTTTAATCAGCTTTTGTCCCTCTGTAGAGTCTGTGTCTCTGTCTCCCTTTAATTTAGTCTGTGTCTTTTACGTTAGTGCTTTCATCAGATGTCAAAGTGATGGTAGGTTGTTTCAGCATATTTTTACCAGTAGAAAGCTGAAAAGCTGGAAAGCCTGAGGCCTCTACGTAGGATTTATCAACGACAAACTTCCCAGTAAGGTGATCTGGCTTGGCCATTTCACTTTCTTAGGGTACCGTGAATCTTGCAGTATCTTTAGGTCTCGTCTACTATGATGACCAGATTTTCAGGAAAGAGTTTTCAAATCTGCTGCCTCCGGGGCAGTCTTGATTACTGGGAAGCAAGCAGAAGAAGAACACTGCACTCAGCAGCACGTGGTGCCCTTCAGTCTGAAGTTCTCTGTTGGACCCTCTGTAGTACGTTAGCAGGCAGTCTCCCGCCAGGTCAGAGGGAGTAGCAGACTGCCCAGTGGTGTGGCCTTGGGGAGGGCCTCTGAGGCTCCAGCTGCCTTTTCTTTTACTTTTGTTATTAAAATGTAACACATACAGAAAAGTCTCTCTGTCATAAGTATGCACTGAATGGGTTACCCCAAGTAAACAGACCTGTTATATGCAAGGCAAGAAATAATATGTTCTATATTCCCATATTCCTCACCCACACTCTCTCCTAATTACTGCTGTGTCTCTCCATAGAGAAAACCAGTATGCTGAAGATTCCCTCTGTTTTTATACTTTGTACATTAGGATTATATATTACATGTTATTTTTGAGTCCATCTTCCTTTATGCATCATTATCGTGAGAGTCATCTGTGTGGTTGCATATAGCTGCAGTTCATTCATTTTTATTAATCTGAAACTTGGTCATCCATCCCGTTCCCCTGCTGAGAGACAGTGTTGTTACAGTTTGGACCTTCTAAGTACTTCTCTGGTGTCTTCAGCAGGCTTTCTCCTATTTTTATTCATGCCTTCACCTCTTCATCCGGAGCTGCAAGTCCTGAGCCTTGCTTAGAAGAGTCCTGGGGTGCAGAAACCTGTTGGTTTAGGGTTCAGCTTTCTGGGTCTGCAAGTTTCTTAACTAGTTAGTTATCTGCTTTCCAACCTCTTATGATGTATCTCTTTTCCCACTAACTTTTAGCCTTTGTGAGTTTTTATTTTTTAATTAAAAAAAAAAAATCTTTTCTGTGACTTTTGGAAGGAACATGGGGTAGTGCCTATGTCCATTTCTCTCTTTTAACCCAAGTTGAATTTTATTGTAAATGTCTCATTTATTATTTTCAGTTTCTACTGAGATGAATGTCTTTCTGAGAGACAGTATCTTAGACTTAACTATATTACCTCCTTTTATAGTAAATGTAAGTCAATAATTATTAAGTATAATAGTAAATTTTTGTTTGTAAAATACATATCCTTTCAAATATTTAAAAGTTGTATTTTAAACATTCGGTCTAATTCACAGAAATTTTCTTTAATTAGGGTATCGCTGGAACTGATGTAGCTAAAGAAGCATCTGATATTATTCTCACGGATGACAATTTTACAAGCATTGTTAAAGCAGTTATGTGGGGACGAAACGTCTATGACAGCATCTCAAAATTCCTTCAGTTCCAGCTTACCGTTAATGTAGTAGCAGTGATTGTTGCTTTCACGGGCGCCTGTATTACTCAAGTAGGTTGACAGTTTGTTTATTAAAACTTGCTTATTTTAGAGCACAAACATATATAACCTGCCTTTTTAAAATATTTAAGTATTTAAAGAAGTTCAAGCTTTGCATTTTGTGTTAATTAATATAGAAATATAATTTTTAACTCCTGTACTTTTAAGTTTTTAAATAGAAATGGCTTCCTGGGAATTGCTGAATCCCTGGAAAGTTGTGAGTGTCTGTTAAGAAACCTGTCTTTTCTAGGACTCACCACTTAAGGCTGTGCAGATGCTATGGGTAAACCTCATCATGGACACGCTTGCTTCACTGGCTCTGGCGACCGAACCCCCTACTGAATCTCTCTTGCTTCGGAAACCTTATGGTAGAAATAAGCCTCTCATCTCACGCACAATGATGAAGAATATTTTGGGTCATGCATTCTATCAGCTTGTGGTTGTCTTTACACTCTTGTTTGCTGGTAAGAATTCAATGCCCAATAAAGCTTCAGTTGTTTTAGTTCTGAGCTTACATTGCAGATTTTTCAAGAACGTATGTTGTTTTTCTTTCTGGCTCCACATTTATCTTTAATTTCTTCTGTCAGTGGATGCTTAGTACATTTTGAGAGGCAGTGTGATAGTAGCGGGAAGGAAAAAGAGTCCTGATTTCTTATCTTTGGCCCTACCACAAATTTAGATGTGATCTTGAACATGTCACCATAGTTCAGGGGGGCTTCCGACTCCTTCCATGTAAGATGAGAGGGTGATACTGGAGGATCCCAGGTCCCTCACAACTCTTTTTGTGGTGCTGTTTGAGAGCAAAGAAAGGTCTGGCTAGGTTTTATTGCATGCTTCCTTAAAATGTTCAGTTATTTTGTATGATAATTACAAAGCAATAATTTTTCATTCTTTCAGGAGAAAAGTTTTTTGATATTGATAGTGGAAGAAATGCTCCTTTGCATGCTCCTCCATCGGAACATTATACTATCGTTTTTAATACCTTTGTACTGATGCAACTTTTCAACGAAATAAATGCACGGAAAATTCACGGTGAAAGAAATGTGTTTGAAGGAATCTTTAATAATGCCATCTTCTGCACGATTGTTTTAGGCACTTTTGTAGTACAGGTGGGTAATTGTAAAAGAGAGTTTCAAATATGATTATTGTGTGGAGATCTTAGGTGAGCAGGTGACTTATTCCAGAAATTACTTGACCTGAATGTGTCGGCCTTTTATGTATTGCCTTGATGACATCAAAGAAGAATTTTAAATATCACAACTCAAGTGAAAATCTGCCCCATCCTGAAGTTCTGCATGTGAATGAGTATATTAAACTAGGACTCCTTCAGTTGCACTACTGGTTCTGTGGCTGTGACCCTGCTCACAGCAGTGTTTGCTCACGCTTACTCTGTTTCTGATTATTTATTCTACATCGCTTTTATGAAAACTGTTATAATGTTGATCTTATTTAGGGCCAGTCTTACAGTTAACCACTTACTCTGCCTAGAGCGATCCCTTAATTGCTTCTAACAATTAATAGCAGTTGCATTTCTACAGTTGAATTCATTATTAAGTAATAAAAGGTTTTGAAATAAGTATTTTAAAATCTACATGATTCTAAATGACTGCATCCTGAGTTGGTATGTGCCAATTTTATATTTTGTAATATTGTCAAAACAAGGCAGAAGAGTGGAGGATGGGGTATGAACAGTGAAATTGAGAAGGAATAGAAAGGACCGAATTTTGCCATTTTTATAAAGACCATAAAAAGGGCAAACTAAGTATCACTTTACGTATGGTAAATTTTATGTAATTATGTGTTATACCTATGTTTTATGTCATCTTGGATTCTGTGGTACTCTTCTATGCAAATGACTGTTAATAGCAGAATCTGGAATCAGAGCAGGTAGGTGAGTGGTGCCTGATCGCATCAGGAGGTCAGTAAGCACAGGAAGGTTTGAAAAGTGAGCTTTTCAAGAATAAAATCAGAACACGATGGTGCTAGTTTCAAAATAAAGGTCTAAGCATTTTGAAGCGTTTATTCATTCTCCACCTTGGGCACTGTGGATTCTGAAACCCCAAACTCATTTATGTCTGTGCAAACTGTTTCTCTTTTAGCTTTCAATTTTTCTGTCAACTTGAGAGGAACTGTTGCTTGCTTAGTTATTGTATAGTTTCTGGAAGAATTTTATTAGAAAAAAACTATTATTCTTGATACACTAAAATTTTAGTTCCTACTTATTATCAAAGTTAGGTTTATTTTATCTGTTTTTAATATACGGGGATTGCAAAAACATAACTTCTTGTCTCTCTATCAAGCAAGTCTGATAAAACTTAGTTGCTGGCATAGACTGATACACCCAGTACAGTTGATGTAAGTAAGGTACCATTCTTCAGTGCTTTCATATGACTCAAAGCATGGTCTGGATCAGCTATTTTGTTTGTTCATTACAAGTCCCCAATGAGATATAAGGAGCACGGGTCAGAGTGTAAGTCAACAACTTCACTAAATAAATTTATTCTTGATTATTCCTCCAGATAATAATTGTGCAGTTTGGTGGAAAACCTTTCAGTTGTTCAGAACTTTCAATAGAACAGTGGCTATGGTCAATATTCCTAGGAATGGGAACGTTACTCTGGGGCCAGGTAAAAAAAAAAAATCTCATCACTTTTTGTTCAAACCTAAAATTTTTTTTTTAATTTTTAGTGTGTATATTCTTTTAATCAATTCTATAACTTGATGCTGGGTCAAGAAAGGACATTCAGAGATTCTTTTTAATGTAATATTTGCTCTAGTATGTCACTTGGTATTAATTATGATTATGCCTATGCAATAAAACACTTAATTTCTTATATAGTCTTTTAACTTGTTTTTTAGAACAAGTTTTACAACTGTTATTAAAATGATACATTTATAATTGGTCAGAATGCTAATATCTGTATCTTTTGCTCTATGACCTACTTTGCATTTTCAGAATTAATATTTTAATAAAAATATTATATGCTTTAGCCTTTTTATCATTCTGTTATATAATTTCATAAAAATGTAGCATTAAAAAAATATTGAGTTTCAGTTGATATGATGAATGTTTCCATAAAACTCCTGGTGTCTGGAAAAATAGGCCACAAAATGACATTTTAGATGATTTGGATTGAATGACTTTAACAGTATACATATAAAATACAGTGCCTCAAAAATGAGATGTTCTTCATCTTCACTATGGGTAGCTGACTTGCATATGTATGTCATTGTTTCTTAAAAGATAAATGATAACAGTGTGTGTGTTCATTTTAAGTCTAATCACTAGAAAACTGATAGAGAATCTACTAACATTTTCATAAATGCAAGCTAGCACATGTATGTAATTGATGTGGACTAATTTATGGTCATCTGGCAAGTCAGACTAAACATTCAGATTGTACTTAACTCAATCTTTATGTGTTTTTTCTCTTTTTCTTGTGTTTCTAGGGCCTGAGGGTTCTCTTCTTACTCATTGTAAAGACCTTTTTTAACTGAGATCTTCTTTTAAGTAGGATCTGTACTAGGTCCACATTTTTTTTCTTTCTTTTTTTTTTTATTTTAACTGTTCTAGTTACTTTATAATGTTCCCTCACAGGCAAAGCCAACCCCCCCAACCTCCCCCCACGTCTGGCTATTTTCAAGAAGAGGAAATTCAGTATAGTGTACATGCCTAATAGGCAGGAGTAACTGTCTTTGGTTGACATTGTCTATTGATTTTTAGGTGCCATGGTAGAAAGCACTGATTTGTTAAGTCAGGAAACCTAGGGTCTTAGTCACTCTGTGAACAAGTCACTTTCTGTGTCTCTGAACCTGTTTCATCTCTCAAGTGAGGTGGTTGAACTAGAAGTTCTCGGAGCAGTTCTGATACTCACTGCATGCCTGTTTCTCCTAACCTCCTTAAGAAATGGCTGTTAACACTTATAAGTTAATACATGTTGGTGGTGGTCTATCTTTTGTGTCTTCTGGAGCATTTGTTCCTGTTTGGTATCATTCTCAATCAGTTTTAATCCAATTTTAAATAGTTATACTTTATGAAAATAAATACATTTAATAAGATCTGTTTTCAGGGCAGCCTTGAAGGTTTTCTGAACTTTAGTGTGTTTTTTTCCTCATTGAATTCTTAAAGCGCTAATGAAATGTAAACTACTTTTGCATCGTATTAGATCACCAATTTTCATTTTATTTGAAACAAATATAATCAATATGAGTTTAAGTAAGTCTGTATGTATATGTATATCAAAGCATGGTTGTATAATTCATGGTCTTGAATGTCTTAAATAAAATTTGCAAATATAATCAGGTTATTTTCATTCAGGGAAACGTTTGCCCTTCAAACTTAAATCTTTTGTGTAGCTAACAGAAGAATGTTTTTTGTTCTGAGAAAGAAGGCCTATGATGGACAAGATTCCATTGCTTCATTGGTAAAGATAGTTGGCTCTTGAGTGCAGCTTTTCATCCCTTTTCTGAGTTGAAGTTGATCAGTTTCATTGTATTTTGATGTGGTTTGTTTCTAAGTTCTCTCCCCTGTGTTGTAGCTTATTTCAACAATTCCAACTAGCCGTTTAAAATTCCTCAAAGAAGCTGGTCATGGCACACAGAAGGAGGAAATACCTGAGGAGGAGTTAGCAGAGGATGTGGAAGAGATTGATCACGCTGAGCGGGAGTTACGGCGTGGCCAGATCTTGTGGTTTAGAGGTCTGAACAGAATCCAGACACAGGTATGGGCCTGGTGGAGAGGTAGGAGAGACGATGGGAGCGGGAGCCAAGGGCCTTTGGAGCTGGGGAGGAGGTTTGAATGTGCTCCTTCACTTCCTTTCTAGCCTCCCCAACCCACAGAACTTACTCTTTTGAAAAATAGTCCTGGTGCCTGGAATGAGTGCAAGTTTTAACTGACCACGAAAGAATGTGTCCGTATGCCCCTAAGCTCCTTTTCTCCTAGCTTTTTTTCCACCCCCTTCATCTCCAAATGCTCCTCTTGCCTATTTATCTGCTCTGTAAAAAGTGCCTTTTTCTTTACTTTTTATATGTTGATAGATGGAATGGTCCTTTCTCTTGTTCTCTCTCTCTCTTGCTGAGCAAGCTGTCACAATCTCTGATTCCTTGCAGATGGATGTAGTGAATGCTTTCCAGAGTGGAAGTTCCATTCAGGGGGCACTAAGGCGGCAACCCTCCATCGCCAGCCAGCATCATGATGTAACAAATATTTCTACCCCTACACATGTAGTGTTTTCCTCTTCTACTGCTTCTACTACTGTGGGGTGTGAGTGTGTGTTCCTAAGTGCATGAAATTAACATTTCCTACTCCACACACCTAACGTTTCTCATTTTCTCCTTAATGTTTAAATTCATTGTTCAGGCTTTTCATAAAGCTTTCTTTTCGTAAAGTGGATTGAGACCTCAAAGTGTTGTCGTTGTTGTCGTTTTATTTCTTAGAGGGCTAGATAACAGGCGGAACAGTTGCAACCAAAGATCAGACATGAAATCTTTGTCTCTGTGCTAACTCTGATAGTTAATATGGGGAATAAAACTGTAGCTTAGAATTTGTGAAACTACTATAAATTTTTGAGTATATGCCTTTAAACATGTTCCATTCTGCATGATTCCCAAAAGCATGTGGTTTGAAACCGATCTAACAGAACCAAGAAATTGTGTTTTTAAAGCTGAAAATGAAGCTGGTGCCTTGACTTGTGTCTTGTTCGGTTTAGAGAGTAAGTTGGTGCGCTGAAGAGGGGTTCTGAGCACACACCCAGGTGTTTTTGCCTTCTTAGACTTCTCTGGTGGCTCAGATGGTAAAGCGTCTGCCTCCAGTGCGGGAGACCCGGGTTTGATCCCTGGGTCGGGAAGATCCTCTGGAGAAGGAAATGGCGGGCAACCCACTCCAGTACTCTTGGCTGGAAAATCCCATGGATGGAGGAGCGTGGTAGGCTACAGTCCATGGGGTTGCAAAGAGTCAGGCACGACTGAGCGACTTCACTTCACTCACTTGCCTCCTTAGCCTGGACTTGTGGGCTTGCTGTGAATTTTTTATTTATTTTGTTTTGAGGTGGATACCCTGTAGAAGCGTCTAAGTTCTTTGGTATTTATGTGAGGTTGGTTTTGTTTTGTTTTGTTTTTTTTCATTTATACAATCAATGTAAAATTGCTTCCTAGATAAGATATTCTATTGAGTTTTCCAAAGAAGTAGGGAAAATGCATTAAAAGTTTTTTTTATTCAATTTTTTTTTTTTAATTTACTCAGATCTCCCACCACTGCCCACCTCCTACCTCTTGCCGCAACCATTTGTTTTTTTAATATCTGTGAGCTTGGTTTTGTGGGGTTTTTTTTTTTAGATGTCACATATACATGTAAGAGAAATCATGTGTGTCTTTCTCTGTCTGATTTATTTCATTAGGATAATAATACTCTCAGGGTTCATCTGTGTTTTCACAAATGTCAAGAATCCCTTCTTTTTTATGGTTAAGTACTATTCCTGTGTGTGTCCACCATACTTCGTTTATCCATTCATTCATCAGAGAACATAGTTGTTTCCATTTCATCCTCATAGATGTGAAGTGATACCTAACTGTGATTTTGACTTGCATTTCTGTGATGATTAGCAATATTGAGCAGCTTTTTATGTACCACTTGGCCATTTATATATATTTTTTTTGGAAAATGGCTGTTCAGATCTTTTGGTCATATTTTAATTGGATTATTTGGTAGTTATGTTATTGATTTGTATAGATTTTTATATATATGTTTTTTTTATTTTTTGCCCCATATCAGGTACATAGATTTGCAAATATTTTCTCACATTCTGTGAGAACAAAATATTGCCTTTTCATTTTGGTCATGGTTTTCATTGATGCATAGAAACTTTTCAGTTTGATGTAATCCCATTTGTTTATTTTTCCTTTTATGCTTTTGGTGTCAGATTCAAAAAACTGTCATCAAAACCCATGTCAAGAAGCTTACCACCTATGTTTTTTTCTAGGAGCTTTATGGTTTCATGTGTTATGTAAAAGTCGTTATAATTCTGAGTTCATTTTTGTGTATGATGTAAGATAGTGGTCCAGTTTCATTATTTTGCATGTGGTTGTCCTGCTTTCCTAATACCATCTACTGAAGAGACTGACTTTCCCCATTGTATATTCTTGATTCCTTTGTTATAAATTAATTGATCACATATGCATGGGTTTATTTCTGGGGTCTCTGTTCTTGTCTGTTGATCTATTTATACAAACTCATGCTAATACCATACTGTTTTAATTACTATATCTTTGTATTGCAGTTGAAATCAGGGAGTGTGATGCCTCCAGCTTTGTTTTTATTTCTCAAGATTGCCTTGGCTATTCAGGGTCTTCGTGATTCCATACAAATTTTAGGATTGTTTGTTCTGTTTCTGTGAAAAATGCCATTGGAATTTTGCTCAGGATTACATTGAATCTGTATTGCTTTGGGTAACATGCACATTTTAACACTATTAATCTTTTCAGCCTATGACTATGGAGTATCTTTTCATTTATTTGTGTCTTCAGTTTCTTTCATTAATGTTTTGTAGTTTTCAATATACAGGTCTTTCACTTCCTTGGTTAAATTTATTCCTAGATATTTTATTATTTTTAATGCAATTGTAAATGAGGTTTGTTTTCTTAATTTCCCTTTCATGTAGTTATTAGTGTAAAGAAATATAACAGATTGTTGCATTTTAGTAAACTCTCCAGAAGTCTTATAACCTTTATCATCCTTACTGTGAATTAGCTTGTTGATTCCATAGTGGATTCTTAGTATATTGGAAACATTAAAGATATAAACACCCACCCTTCATCCGTACCCTCCAACTCAGTTGAGATACCTGATTTGGGCAGTGACTTATCTTTTCCATTTGCTCTTTAGTCAGTAAAAGACTAAAGAGGAATCTAAGGAAACGTTGTTGTTCAGTCGCTCACTTGTGTCCAACTCTTTGCAACCCTATGGACTTCAGTACACCAGGCTTCCCTGTCCTTCACCATCTTCCAGAGTTGGCTCAAGCTCGCATCCATTGGGAAACTGGGGAGAGGGTAAATTAAGGGAGAAAACAATGCTGTCTAAAAAAAAAAAACTGTTCACTCAAGAGTCTACCTATTCCTTGTTTGCTTAAGTAAGTTTCATTTATTATTTTTGACAGTGTTGCACAACAGGCAGAATAGGAACTATCCCCATTTTACAGGTGTGAAAGCTGACTTAGAGTTTACATGATGTGTCCATAGCTAACAAGCAGAGGCAGCATGATGTAGGACAAAGGGCAGCCAGGTGCTGAAAAGACAAACTGACCCTGAAACTTTAGACATGTTGTATCTTTAGGGTGACTGACTTTAGGCTGTTAAATTTATATACGTGGACAGATGGGAATCTTCCTCTTAGAAGTTACCATGCCACCTGCCTGAATGACATGGAATAGGCAGCCTTATGCCTTATGCCTGGGACGGCTGATGTCACTTGCATCCCTCCCTCTTCTGGATTTCACATGATTCCTGGCTTTCAGGGGCATGTTACCACTCATGCCTTCACCTCCTGCTCTTGCTGTTCACTTTGTTGTATTTCATAAACACTGCAAGGCCTACCACATGCTCTGGAACCTCCCGCCCTTGTTGTCTAGGGAGAGAAGCAGATGAGGAGATAGGAGTTTTGACATGGTGATGAAACAGTGTTATAACAGGGTCTTCACCCCTCCCTGAGAAGTCAGGGAAAATTACCTAAGGAAATGACTCACAAGCTGACCCCTTGGTAGAATTTGTTGGTTGAGGAAAGCAGATCCCAGCTGATGTAGTTTAAAACTAAAAAAGTAATGAAATGAAGGAGTTGATGAGGCTGGAATGGAAAGTAAGCTTCCATTTATATCCACAAGAAGGAGCCAAACTGAGACTTAACCTTGATATATTTCCTCCCCTCAAAACTGAAAAATTTCAAACTGATAGACAAGTTGAAAGGTTTAATCCATACAAAATCTCTTTGCCTGGATTTACCACTTCTTAATGTTTTATGATGTCTGCTTTATCTTTATAATATAAATATATACCATTTTATCTAATAACAGTCCATATTTAGATTTCTTCAGTTGCCCCCAAAATGTCATATATTACAGCTTTTTTGATCCTGGATCCAAGAAAGGACATTCAATAGTGTATGTTATGAGTCTCTCTCCTTTAACCTGGATCCATTTTCTCTACCTTTATTTTTCATAACATTGATTTTCTTTTTTAAAAATCCAGGCAGATTGTTTTATAAAGTGTCCTACATTCTGAATTGATTGTTTCCTCCTGATTAGCTTTATGTTAAACTTCTTTTGACAAGTTTTATCTACTAGGTGGTATATATTCTGTTGATTTTTATTTAAGCAAAATTTTAAATAGTTTGTTTTTACTAGATGTGGTATCATATGAACTGTATTTCTCTGTATAATTGTGTCCCAGGCTTTATATTAAATATCAAATCAATCACAAGCTCTGTTTTAAGTCTTACACACCCACACCTCCTGCAGACTCTTTTCTGATCACAGCTGTGTGTGAAACCTCTGGGTTGCTGGGCACAGGTAGCCAGAGTATTGGTGTTAATACATTTCAAGGAAGGTTTAATTTTATCACTGGCTTCCTGCCCTAGTAGAGAATAATCTTAGGAACATCTATGTCAAACTTCTTTGACTCTTCCGTTTAACCTCTTTTATTAATTGGAGTATAGTTAATTTACAATGTTGTGTTAGTTTCAAGGGTACAGCAGAGTGGTGGTTATACATACACATCCATTCTTTTTCAAATTCTTTTCCATTATAGATTATTACAAGATATTGAATATAGTCCTCTGTGCTATGCAGTAGGTACTCTATGGCACTTGACAGAAAATATTTTTCAACTCCTATTCCAGATAATTAAAGCATTAGCTATTACACAGGTCTCACTTTGAGAAAATTCGATGTACAAAGACACAACTTTGAAAAGCAACCTAGAATTTTCTTTCCTGTTGCAAAGTATCTTTTACTTTACTACTGAAATTCTTTAATTTATGGTGCACATAGTAAAAGTATGATGACAAATTTCGGAAAAAATCAGTCTGTTGTAGAAGGTAAAATAGAACTGTCTCCTGTGTACCATGTTTTGGTTAGTAATATTCTTTTCTCCTATCAAAAGTTAGGATTATATTTAAGAAAATGGGTGGTTTAGCATGGTACATGATCTTATTGCTAGATTTAATGTAGTATTTACCTTAGTAATCATTTTCAGTTTCCTAAAATTACTTTATTATTATAATAACCATTTCAATGTATTGTTTGCCATATGTGCCTCATGCCTTGGATTTTTTCCTCTCAGTAATTTATTCTTTAAAAATTTTTCTTAACATAGGAATTGTTGAATTTTCCTTAAATAGTGTTGTACATAGTAGGTCTTAATTGCTATTAAAAGAACAGCATTTAAAGACTGGATTAAATAAACAGTAGGGGTTGGATTGTCAAAAATAGGTAATCAGTTTCTGCTTAAACTGATTTCTGGTATTCTATCTACCTACAGTATAATGCATGCAATTGTGCTTTTTCATTACTCAAAATTACTGTTGTACTGTGAGAATTTTACCTATAGAAAGTTATAGAGATGAGAGCAAATATAACTAGCTCAGTGGCATGCCTTAGATCAGGTGCTTTCTTATTTAATGAGTAGGAAGTAAAACAAATCTGTTTCAGTGACCCCCTAGTTAATCTAGATGTTATTTTGTGTACTTAATATGAGAACTATTTTTTTGAAAATTATATTGCTTTGGAGCATTTCTAAGCTTCCCTTGTACTATGCTGACCTTAATCCTAGGAAATACCTTATTCTAGTAAAGTTAGTTATAAAGTTAATGCCCATATATTCTCTTCTTTCATTGACTTGAAAGAATCTGGAGCTGAGAGTCCAGAAACCTTAGCTCTGAGACTTTCTGGCACTGATTTGGAGTGACCTGGCAGGGCAGCCCCCTGTCTTCAGTTGCTCGGTTGGTATTATTTGTAAAGTGGTTGAAATAAACTATCTCAAATATCCTTTCAAACTTCGATGTTCTAGGATAACATAATAAATTTTGTCAGATAGGAGAAAAAAATTGAAACACTTGAATGGAAAGCAGTCTGATTTCAGCTGTCACGGGTATGTGTCATTGTGTGTACAGATGCACTTGCTGCCCTCACCTGCTTATTACTTTTTACACTCTCCTCCTCCTGGAGCTTGGCTAAGCTCCCAGGTCGCTCATTTACAGCCATAACTTTCTTCTGAACTCTAAATATTTTCACTTCGGTTGTTCCGTAGCCCCCATGTTTCAAAAATTGATTTATTTTCCCCATGATTCTTGTACTGTCTTCTACCCAGACTGGTCAGAACAAAAGAGAGACCTCAACTGCTTCTCCAGCTCCATTAGCAATACCAGCAAACAAGTCCAATAAGCAGCAACTTCAGAGTCGCATTAAGCAGCTCACCGCACGCCGGATAGGCTGGCTGGTCCTCCAGTTCGTGTTCTCGTGCCTACTGGCCACTGACAGCAGTGACGTGGGAGTGCAGGAATCGCTCCAAAATCTTGATTTCAATTCCTTTGGTCAAAGTCTCAGAAGTGGGATCTGGAATAGTCAGATGCATATAAGTAGACTAGACTGGGGATTACCAGGGGGAGGGGGAATTGCAAGATGTAGTTCAAGGGGTACAGAGTTTCAGTTATGCAAGATGAATGAGTTCTGGAAGTCTTAATATATAGCATGGTGACTCTAGGTAACAGTACTGTACTGTATACTTGAAATTTGCTAGGAGAGTCCAACCTCAAGTGTTCTCAACACACACACACAGATAATAACTATGTGGGGTAGTGAATATGTTAATTAACTGGACTGTAGTGACTATTTCATGCTGTAGATGTATATCAAATAGTCTTGTATGCCTTAAATATATGCAGTAAAAAAGTAGGCATAAATTTTTACTTTTTTTTAAAATAAATTGAAATATCCCTGTGAAGAAATTTATTTTTTGAATACCGTTGTTTTATGAGGTGATTTTGGTGACTTTATGACTTTTAGCGATCTTTCTTCCTGAAATGTCAATGTCAGTTATATCTGGATAACTGCCGTTTATAATAAATAATAATAATCCAATTATTTGGATTTTGTCTTTTTTTTCTCTAAGTCTTAATGATACTGGATTAACGAGACCCGAGTCTGTATGTGCAGTAATATATTTAAGTTGATTACTCAGTGACCTCTTTTTTTCCATATAGCAGAATTCTGAGGAGGAAGATGAATTGTTGGGCTGCATGTTTAAGGGTGAAAATGCTAGAATACTTTATGTCTTCTCCTTGGGAAATTTTTCACAGAAGAACCTCAGAAAGTTTTTTGTTTTATTTTAAATCTGTTCTTTCCAGTGGAGTGTAGTACATAAAGTTATTTAAGTTTTATTACTATAGAGAAAAACACTAACACTTTATAGACAAATGGCATATACTCAAATATTTATAGCTGTTTAATGGCATTTCATAGATATTTATTTGGGTTTTGTCTTTATTTTTATTTTTTTAATTAAGGGCGTAGTGGGGTAGATGTGAGTTCATTGTGGCATTCAGCTTATATTTGCTTGGCTTTTTCATAGTCGGTGACTCCCTAATTCCTAGCATGATGAGTAGTAACCCTCTGTGCTTGACTTCGTTTAACTTATTTGAATTGTTTTTAAAAATTATATTTCTTTTATTTAAAAAATCAGCTAACGCTTGTGTATGGTTAATTTTATGTTTGTTTTCCCTTTGATTTTGTTTTCTTAGGGAAAAATATCCTATAAAATGGCTATTAAATTCTTAGCCAGTTGACAATGAGATATTCTTAGTATTACTTTGAATTCTATACCCTTTAATTCTTAGAGTATGTGGTTTTGTTGTTCTGTAGTGTCCTACTAAAATATTCATTTTTTTTACAGTGTATTGCAAGTTCCACTGCATTACATGCAAATATGATTCACTCATCCCTAGCTGTTTGTGGATTCAGACTCATAAATGAACCATTTTTAAATTAAGGAAACAGCGTACTGATATGTTTCTGTGTTTTCTGATATTTACAGATTCGAGTGGTGAATGCATTTCGTAGTTCTTTATATGAAGGGTTAGAAAAACCGGAATCAAGAAGTTCAATTCACAACTTTATGACACATCCTGAGTTTAGGATAGAAGATTCAGAGCCTCATATTCCCCTTATCGATGACACTGATGCTGAAGATGATGCTCCTACAAAACGTAACTCCAGTCCTCCGCCCTCTCCCAACAAAAATAACAATGCTGTTGACAGCGGGGTTTACCTTACAATAGAAATGAACAAGTCTGCTACCTCTTCATCCCCAGGAAGCCCACTACATAGTTTGGAAACGTCACTCTGATTGTAAGCTGAATGTTAACACACTAGCTGCATTGTAAAGAAACAAATTGAAACTGGGTCTTTTCACATATTGTGACGGACAAGATAGTATTCTTGTCTCTGGACTTCAACAGAAGACACACTTGTACGAATGTAGATTTATTTTTTTAAAAAAAAAAGCAAAGCTTTCTGCCAGACTGAGGGTGCTTTTTGGGGGGTGGGAGAAATGAACTGACAGATAAACAGTAACTCAGCATAAGTCGACCTGTGGATCATCAGTAGAACCTAAGAATGGTCCTGAACAGTATATTAGCAAAATTTTAGTTGATCTCAATCCTTGATGGGAGAGAGGGAGGAGTAAAGCTGGGCAAGCAAGCAAAGAGCCCTGGATCATTGAATTGATGCTTTAATTTCTGCTGTTGGCTGTTAATAATTTGGATTATTTATGTTTATAAATGATGCAGATCTGTTTACAAGGTTTGTAGATACTTTTTTTGTTCCTGTTCATAGATGGGACGCTTCCTTATAACTGACGCAGAGATAAAATTAGTCCTTCAAATACTGCTGTATTTTCAGGAAAAAAAAGGGGGGAGGGGTGTTTCTATTGAAACTGTACTAAATTTTTGCCTACAATTTACCTTGTTAAATACTGTAGATAAATTGCTAATACTAATAGCCAAATAGATAACACTAATGCTTTGTTTAAAAAAAAACAACAAAAAAAACAAAACAAAAAAAAAAAACATGAGCAGTGGTGTTCTAATGAAGTTATGGCATCTGTCTTAATTAGTTTCTTAAATACATTTACTACTTAATGGTTTTGAAACAACTGTTTAATTTTTAAAATTTTTGAAAACTTGCTAATAACCTTTGTTCAGAATTTAGTAGATTGTTTAATGCAGGACATCAATGACATAATGAAAGATGCTTGAAATGCTTTTGTTATTTCAGGCAAATCAAATTAAATCAAACTATCAAACTACAAGAGAATTTTAGTCCTTTTTGTTTTTGTCTAAACATGTTAGTTCAGTGATGTCTTGGTGAACTGTGAGTGAACTGTATTGATTTTATTTTTTTCTAATAAATCCTTAGAAATCTTCATAGAGCATGAGGGCTGTTGGCATTTTGAAAAAGGTTAATAAGTAGAAGCATACATGTTTTCCTTTTGTTTTTGAAACTTGTTTGTAAACATAAATAAATATGCCCTTTTATTAAATAAATACACAGCAATTTTTTTTAAAAAGAACTTTCAGCTTCTTTACTCAATTCTGCCTATGTGATACATCGGTCTGTTCTCTTTAACTGCAATTGGAATAAATTTCAAGATGGTAACAGCCCCATGAGGTACCCTCTTTAATTCCTTGGTGGCAATCTACTAGAACCAGATTAAGAAAATCATTGCAGTTTGACATGTTCTTCATAGAGTTTATTTAGTTGGCCTAAAATAGTCTCAGAGTTTAAAAAAATAATAATAGCGACCGCCATTGTCTCTGATACATTTGTTTTCATTCTTAAGTGGCCAAATAACAAATTAGTTAAAATGATAATGTGAAAAGATGGGAAAGGCCCTAAAAATATGTATTTAGATATATTACTTAACCATATGCTGGAATGCCTGTCTCTAAGCCAGTTGGATTTTTTTAAGTCTTTATTTCTGTCTGCCTTCTCCCGCCTTTGGTCTCTGTCTTTACCATTTAGGAACTGGCACTGTTTAGGGCCCAGATTTCACCAGATACACAATCCTCAGGCTGACGTAAAGTTTACGGGGACTACTACAACATCTGAAAATGCTGACCCAGCAAAGAAACATTTAGTTGATGGTGCTTGATATTTTTGGTGGGTGGGGGAGAATCTTTTTCTCTCCATCAATCCTTCGCAGTCATCCTCTGCAAGACTTAGAAACACTTTGGCTCTGTCAGCATTTGTAATTGTACATTACTCATCAGGTATTTAGAGTGAATCATACTGTAAAAAGAGGTAGCATGATATGCTGGAAAGCGTACTAGGCTAGGAATCAAGACCTGGTTTCTAGTCTGGGTTTTGCTATTAATGTGCTGCATGACCTTGGGAAAATCGTCTCCCCTACACGAGGGTGGTGGACTAGACTATCTTGACAAACCCTTTTCAACTCTAAAAATTTATCCTATCAACTGGAGAGCCTACAAGGCATAGGGAATAGAGAAAAGGGAAGCGTTTTCAGTTTTATTTATTTTGGTTACGCTTAAATATGAATGTAATTACCAAAAGATATAGACGTGCATGTGCTTTGGAGGGTTTGTATTGAGCTTTTACAGTATTCATTTTTCAACTCAAGGCAATGGCTTTTTACACCAACTCTAATCCATAAACGGGTCTTATGACATCCATGAAGTAGTAGCAAGACATGCTTAGTGTGTATTTCTCTCTTTGAGACACTAATTTCTACCAGAAATTTCCAGAGCATATGTAAGTAGGAAAAAATGCAAGCAAGCTGTTAAAGATCTTGGATCCCATTATATAGGATGTATAGCTGAAATCAGCATCTGTAATTCAATCACTTTTTCTCTCTTATCCTCTAACCAAAAAATTGTTTAATTTTGCATCCCAAATGTTTTTAATCTTTGTATATTTTTTAAAAATCTTTTTCTCCTCATCATTGCCTTTTTTGTGGTTGTAAATAGACTTACTTGCACTTTGAAGATGAGTTACTCCTTGTCATCTTATAAATATGTGATATGGTAATTTTCATAACAGATGTCAGTTTTGAACCAAGAAATGGCAATTTGTTTATAAGAAAAAAAACTGGCTTCATTTCTGTGAAACTGCTCTTTGAAAATTTCTTTTTACACGTGTAAGCCAACTGAGATACCGTGATGCTGTTGATTTCTTTCAATGACGCTTACCATCTATTTTAGCCACTGAGCCTTTTATTATTTGTCTATTTGTAAAGTTTATTTGTCTTAACTCATTTAATAAATATACTGTTTATCTGTTTCTGAATGGGGACTGGCTGAACTTTTTGAACATTTAAGTTAATCTGAACATCATATTTTGAAATTACTTTTTTCTACTTGAAATTTTAAAAATCTAATTGAGAATTCTGTAACGTACTTGAAATATTATGGTTCTGTTACAGTGAATCCGCATCCTAATATTCATGATCCTGTCCCTAGAATGAATGTGGGTATGTTGTCCATTCTCTCATGCCCACCATCTTCAGTCTTTGTAGCTCAAGAGTTAATTTCTGCAGTCCAGGGGGAAGTAAAGTTTGGGTTTTAGAAAAGATTATATTTTCACATTAACTATAAGACCTGATTTTTTCATTAACTAATCCAAACTTGTCAATAGCAATTATCTGAAGTTTATGGTAACAACATGAATCAATTTGCCCTCTGCTGGTATTTTTATAATAAATTTTTAACATAAATTAGCAACTTTGAACTACTGAGAAAACTTTGAATGGTTATGAATACTATACTTTTCCATTAGTAAATATTACTCAATTAATGAGTATATGAGTACCATATTTGTGAGGAGAGATTTTTTTTCCATTTTGTCAAGTTCAATTCTGTAAGTGTACTAAGTATTAGGATTGAATTTTGAATGAAATCCCTTTGTAAAATTCACTGAATAAGGAAAGTTTCTGTAAGTTTGTGTTTATTGACGTTTTTTTTTCTTGCCTGTGTCTTTAGGGAGCTCCTGTTACACGACAGCTGCTCTCTTTCTTCTAACCTCTGCCACTCTAGGACCCTAATGTCCAGATCCCACATTGACTTTTACCTTTTCCAGTTAGTGTTACATTCACTTGTAGACCAAAAAATTTTATTAGTGTAATGATACTACCTAACTGAAAGCAATCTTAGAAAGATCCTTGCAAAATTATTTTAGATGAGGCATTATAAAAATACCATAAAGAATGTTCCATGCTGGAAGCGGAGTCTTGGTTGTGTTCCTATATTTCTCAGCAGTACATCAGTGCAAAAGGAAATGTCCTTCTGTTATTTGTAAGGTGGCCTTGTCTCAAACTCTCAATAGTTTACTTCTCTACTTTTTGTCTTAAGAATGACTTCTTTAACGTTTTCCCTATTCATTAGAAAAATGCTTCTGCTAACAGATGAATAGACTAAATATAGGCATGTTTAAGCTGTATTCTCTGAATTCAGTGTCGTTGTTAAACTGGTTAACATTAATGGTTCCAAAGTAGGAAATTAAAGGAGGAAATAGACCTATGTGCTTATATAGAATCAGTCTTTGGCCCAACTTTCTTAACCCGCACTGTATCCTAGGAAAACAAGTTTCCAAGTCAGTATTACATTAATCTGGCTGTGGGGGTTCAATGTGAGTTCCTAAGATTGTCATAATTAAATCCAAATTACAAGGACCACATAGCTTCCTAATTACTTTTTAGGTAACTAAATATAAACGCTGATACTTTCCTTACTATTCAAAGGAATCTTGTCACATCACAGGTGAATATGTATAGAGTACCTGATCTGTCAATATGCTAAGCAATTTATGTGGACTATGTAAGTAATAACTCTGTGTTACTTCTGCCATTTTACATAAGGACAGACTGAGGCTTAGCAAGTTTAAGTAACTTGGTCTGGGTCACATGATGAGCTGGAATTGACACTAAACAGATCTTCCCAAGAGCCCAGGCTGGTAGCTATTGGTTTTATTGCAGTGCTAACATCTTGTTAACCAGAATCCAGGCCCAGTGCCTAAAAACCTTAACTTTTAAGTGTTTCGTTGTTGTTCTTTTCTGATATCAAATGCATCAGAGTTGGTCTTGAAGATTCTTCACAACCGTCCTGGGTTATGAAGAGACTGAGGGAAAGAATCACTGATTAAGATGTATAACCCATCTTGCCTGGAGAACTCCATGGACAGAGGAACCTGGTGGGCTGCTGTCCATGGGGTCGCACAGAGTCAGACATGACTGAAGCGACTTAGCATGCATGCATGGCATTGGAGAAGGAAATGGCAGCCCACTCCAGTGTTCTTGCCTGGAGAATCCCAGGGACGGAGGAGCCTGGTGGGCTG